GAAACTTAATTTATCTAATTAAAACTAAATTGTAATGTTGTAATAATTTCAAAAATTGCCATTATACGAGTATATGAGCAATAAATAGCGTATTCGCTTTATTATACGTAGTTTGGTTGGTACAGAATTATAATTTTTTTGATCAATTGATACTCAATTGATATACTCATCGATAAAAGAATAAATATCGTAAGTAGTGTAGTTGATTTTTGTTGTATATTTTCAGATTGTATTTTCCACTGCTGTATCATAATTTGTAAAGCGATAAAAACTACATCATTCCATTTGGTGAGGTATTGCACAGTTGAAAAATGCATCTATAACTATTTATTTATTTATACAACCCAACTTGCTAATATGATAGAAAGGTACCAAATTCAAATCTGGTATCATTTGAAAGGGAGACAATAGCATGGCTACTTGTTACACTGCAACGCTCAACATGTGTCCAGTAACAATAAATCTGCATGCACGGAGTAAAACTATTATCCCCGCAATAATTAAATTAGTACCAAACTCCGATAGAAATACCTTCTAAATCACATCGCGACTCCTATCCAACCGACAGCCCTCTAATTAGATTTCGCTCTAATTCGTTTTAATTTATTATAATTATAGTTGTTTTTCTTCGTCGACCTACTTTCCGGCCCGGTTGTTGGTTGTATACGAACTCAACACTATTTAACAATTAGCTCAACACCGGTTGGCTATTTACCCTTTGGGCGCAGTTTTGTTTATACCGGCTCGCTGTATACAGTCGACCTAGGCCAAACTATTATCTAGGGCCGTTTGCTAACATAAACATCAGCGAAAATTATATAATCCGCAATTTCGACGGGTCAGCGGATCTGAGGGGATCAGGTAAATATAAAGCTGCAAGCGCCACCGATTGTTTTGGCGAATATTTGGAGAATTCGAAAAAATAATCTCTGTAGTTATAAATAGAAATTTAATCACGCGGATAGGACGATTTTACGATGGCACGAATAAGGGAAAAACTCCCTTAATATGCCAACCCCCTCGAGAGCGAAGCGGCTGAAACGAAACCGGTGTACAATTTCAAATTCAAAACGGATTATTTCAACGAATTGTTCTTCGGCAAATTAATTTTCGAATGTACGTCTGGAAGATTTTACAATAATTTGAATAACGCATTAAATTCATCCGTATACTCCTAAACGAATTCAAAGCTCCCTTCCTGCGGATCCGGCAATAATGAGAGCGGGCTAATTTCCCGTGGTACTCGGCTCGGATTCGTTTTTTGTTTCGCCGGAGAAAAAAATAAAGGCGCGTATAAGGTATTCCCAGGCATACATCTCGGCTTGTTCGAGCGTGCCGGCTGGTGTTTCGCCGGCAGAGACGTAAATATAAAGCGGAGTTCGTGTGAAATTTACGCCAACTTTGAAGATCGCGATCTCCAGGAGTCATTGGTGCACGTTGGCTTTTTCAAAAGGATCCCTGCGATTCAAACGAGCCTTTCACCAGACCGTTTCTTTATGTTTTATCGTCAACATGTACACTCTCGCCTTTGATACTTGGCGTAGTAAAATCAAGCTTTGTATATCCACTATAAATGTAGTTATTACCTAGTCAAGTGCGTATGGAACAATAGCGCAAACTTACACGTCGCATTTATAGCGTTGTTTTGTAACCAAACGAATTTCCTTCCAGCGAATTTTTCCATATTACAAAAATGAATTAAGCAATCGTTAAATTCCCCGCAAAAGTCCTCCAGTAGGCGCTTTTTTCCGGAGCATCTTGCTCGAATTTATGTTTCCGTTTATTTATAAACAAATCAATTTGGGTACGCTCGACGGGTTTTTCCGCGAATTAATTCTCCTCTTCCACGGCGCTTCGATTTTCATCGATCTCCGGCGAAGGAGCGCGCCCCCGAAAAAAGATCAAAGACGTTCTCGGCGGGCGATGGCAGGGCGGAATTTTTCGCGAGTTGTTTAATTATCGTTAAATATCGCGACGGGTTGGTATTATTCGGAGGAAGTGGAGCGGAAATCGTTGATTGCAATAACGAATCGAATTTTTTTTCCGTATGCCGAAGGAACCGATGTTGCCGGTTTATTATCCTTTTCGATTATTGAGTCATTAACGGTCGTTGGTTTTTAATTGCGTTCGGAATAAAATTGGAATTGCGCCGTTTCTTCTCCTGGAATTCTTAATTAAAATTATACTTCGAAGGACAAGTTTCGATGCTCGAAGAGGTAATAAAAAGTTCATCATCTATGGAAAGAAAGCGAAATAAAAAAAGGAAGCGGTTTGATTTAAGAAACTAATTAAATTTCAATTTGAATTAAAATCAAATCCAGCACTAGATTAAAATCGAGAAAAAGATTTTCATTGGCTTTTTTTGCCGAAGTTCCGACAAATATTCTATTTCTGGTTCTAAATTAATCCCGGGGATTCGTTTCGCAATAAGGCCGCGTAAGAATTTACATTTTTTTATCGTTTTTCCTTTAATATAGACGGCGAAGGTTTTTCAAATTAAATAAGTTAATAACCTGTGGCTATCATCGTTATAGGTGGGAATTTTATTCGAAGACCTGCCGTATAGCAAACGGCCACAGAAGTAGTATATTGTACAAATTTTGTAGATTTAATGTTATATATTTTAACATATAATATTCGTTTTGATTCCTGCAACTCATCTCGACCACTCGCATATTTTCTATTAAAACAGTTAATTAAATTAAACGACCCTTAAAGTTTTAATTTAATTTTCCTCGAATATGACGAATTATCCTTTGATATATAATTAACCCTTCTGCTCTTTATACTTCCACTGAACAACCGTGTAGTTTTCAATGGCCATAAAATACAAAGCGATCATTTACCACCAGAAGGAAAGTATTCCCACCTTTCTTTTCTGAGAGTTTGAATTTGCTTAAATCGCGCATGTTACGTTTCCAGCTATTCAAACTGCTCTGTAAGTGTACAAAATGAGGGAGCTCTCTGTAATTATTGGCGGATCCGTCTCTGGGTAAAAGTATCCGTTACAAAAGCGGCTTTTAACAACTTTGTTAAGCGTCCAATTCTAATGTACGTTAACTTTCTAATTACAACGGGACGCACATCCTAATTACTAAACCATGAACGTTTCAGAATTTGGTCGGTTTTTAACTTCTCGCCATATGTACTCAGAATGTTTGTTAATTTTTAATTGCACGAATTCCTGCTAGACTAGCAAATTCTCCCTGCGTTTTATAAAAAAGGGTGTATTTATCCTGAGGCAAACTAAATATAATTGAATCGTATAACAATATCTCTGTAGATGTAAATTGTTCTATAGGTACTTATTTGCGAATGAACTATCATTATTAAACTTTTTTTATGAGATATAATCATATTAAAGTTGGTATATAATTTAGGAATATTCGTGTGAACAGGAACAGTGGTAACCATAAAATCTAATATCTCTGCTGGATTTTCTAACGTAACGATGAAGTAATTTTGTTATTATAAACTAAGTGGCTCGAAATTATATTTAGTAATTAACTGTGGTGTGTGCGGAAGTTAAGAGGAGCTCTTCTAGAGAAGCGACGAATGCCAAGGGTGAACTAAATATTAATACGTTTCTGCTACACAGGAATCGTAATTAAAATTGAAAATATATCACTATTCCTGTGCAGTTTCTCTCCGGCTTTTTAAAGCGATTTTCTCGTTTTGGAAACGTTGCGTTCTCCGGGTATTAAAAGGGCAAAAATGAATTAGTCGGGCGTTTACAGGGAAAGCTCGCAGCCGCCGCGAAGCAATCTTCAAAGTAAAAGTATTGTTCATAAATTTACCTGTCAGTCTGTTACGTTACTAAGTCTTTCTAACGAAAACTTTTTTAATACCGCAATAAACGAATTGGGAAAACTCCCCGAACGTAATACAGCACACAAAACGGCCCGCGCTCGGAGCTCGAACGCTGTAAAAACTTTGTTGTATCGCGTTGTGTAATCTGCCACCGAAGAAACAATACTCTCTCATTATTAAAGCGTTTTCGCTTGCTAGAACGAGGCGCTTTTATTTAGTTAAATTTATCGGGATTTATAAAATAAGTGGTTTTTATGAACTCGATTGTACTTGTGGTGAACCGCTTTTCTTGCTCAACAGGAATTTAACTTTATGAACTAACTAACTAAAATTAATTTAACTATATTATTAATGTTAATTTCACATGCACATTTACCTAATTTTTTTGTGCAGCAAACTGTGAAGTAACTAAACTTGAAAACTTCCCGGACGATTCGCGATCCCAGGGTTTGTATACCTACCCTATTATACGAAATATGCAAAATCGTGTACTTTATCTCCGAATTCCCGGCGTATATATAAAGTTTTACCTGCCTTTGTGTTGATTTCAGCGATTATTTCATTTTAATTACAGGTATACAGTGTATGCCATAGAGCCGCAGTTTCCCGTCACTTTTTAACCGTAAAAACAACAAAAGATTAGACAGCCCCGGTTCGAGATACGTTCTCTAACGTTTTATATTTCTTCCGCCATGCGAACGTTGTGCATTTTCTATTTTATTCGCTGTTTTGATGCATTATTTAATAAACAACATAAAAGGCGTTTCGCCAGTTAACGAAAAGTTCGTTAACCGGACGCGTGTAATGTTGCTTTTGACAGCTTTTTAAGCTTTTTAAGCTTTTATTAGATCGACTAGTTAATTTTGACGCGCTCTTGATGGAAGACGCTTGATGATTTATTTGAGTTGAGGAAAAAAGTTTTGTTTTTAATTCATCACTCTGTGGAAATTCATTAAAAACGAAACTTTTTTTCCACTGTACCTTGCACTTCGTTACTATACTTATTTGGTTATCTGCACCAATTTACTAATGAAATAGGAGTGATTAAGGGATGATTATAATTAAATATCCAAACTGCATTTTATTGCAAATATTCCGAGCTTTAATTAGGTATAATATCTTACAAATACTAGTAAAATTCCTATATTAAAATTTGATTAGCTCTAATTTACTGATTGCTATTGTTCCAGGTGTCATTTCCACGACGTCTAGAAAATTGGACCGAGAAACGCAGGCCGAACATATTTTAGAGGTAAGTGGAAATCGTACTTAGTATAATGTGCGAAAGCTCAGCGGGAGTTCGTCGTTTACGAGCTCCGCTGATTTCGTTTGAAATACCTGCGAGCTTTTTTTATCGAAATCAGAGTATCGCCTATATAGGGCTCTAACGATAACGGCCTAAGTAGGGTTTGGGGTTGCGGGGATTATTCGCGCTTATCTCTCCATTATTTGAATTAAGTGCGTGAATTATTTCGGGAATACTATAAATTAATAAGGCAAAATCTGCTCTATTTACGAACCTTGTTTAATATTAACCGAGGTGGCTCTTGAATTTTGTATCTAATTATACGGTGCTTTCGTGAATGTTTGATTAAATTTTGACTGACCCTCGTATACATATCAATAGAGGATTAGGGTTATCTAGTTAATTACGTTTCGGTAACCAAAAAAAAACTCAAAAACTCCATTTTCGATTATCACCTCTATATACGCTCGAGTGTAGAAACACAATAAGGACTAGGGGACCTTTTGTAAAAAACCGGAGTTGCAAAGTTTTTATTCATCGTGCCGATATAACCGAGCGCCATGTATATAAAAGGAAAAGGTAATTACGTCTAGGCGCTTTTTGTCAGGGCGCTTTCTCCCTCTAATATATACTTTTCTTATCACCAGGTACATCCTGAAACGAGGAATTTGCATTTCCATTAAAATGGAAAAGGAAGTTTCGTGGAGTTATTAAGCCACATACTAACGAATGCTGAAATTAATAGACCATGCTGGTATAATCTCGCCGGTTTATGGGGACTATTAGCGACAGTTTTAGTCGTTACGTGAATACAAAAGTACCCGATAGCAATATAGAAATACCAGCTGTTAATTAACTGAGATTGCTGTTTATGAAAAAAATTGAAAATACCAATCATTTTTGAAGGGGGCTTATCTCGAATACCTCTTGAAAGCGCAAAAGCTCTCGGAAATAAGCCACTGTATATAGAATAAGAAGCTTGGAATAAAAGTAATGGAATTTTTTCTAAGTTAATTACAATATTTTGCATTAAAATTTTTGAGATAACTAATAAAACATTATCGGCGACACGGAGATTTATTAAGCGGACGTTGAATGATAGCGTAGTTTTTTTGTTGGTCGGGCAAACACTAAAAGCTGCAACAACTCCGTGCATTATACGTATACATAACGCGTTTAACGTGGCATGAAAAACCCGTGTCTGTGTGTGTGTACGTAAACACGTAAACTACAACCGAAATGTCATAAATTTTTCTAACAATTTTAAATGCTGCACATGCACAAAATAGTTACTGGCCGTCGTACAGGCGAATGAATCTTTTCGGAAATTTCGTACCGCGACTCCCAGATTAATTAAAATATGAAATAACGCTTAATAATCGTCTGAAAAAATCTCAAAAATTCGTTATAAAATCGTCTAAAATTAGAAAATCTCCTGCTAAAAATTCATTGCCTGCCCAACAGTTATTATCCCTTCATTTTATATGTATAATAAAAAATAGAGTTGCGGTCACTCTTTCATTCGAGCGCGGGATACGACAACAAAATAATTTATGGAATTTTCTCGGCTTTTTTTCGTGTTGATTTCAGTAAAACGCCGTCCTTACTTACTTACGACATTAGGCGCATCTGTGTTGTGCAAAATTCGCGGCGTGAAGCCGAAACATTTCCCTTTGGAACCGAAATTAAGTTCATCACGTTCTATTCATCTGTGCACATACCGCATTAATCTTGTCAGATTTAAATTTGAAAGGAAGCCCCGAGCACAGGCGTCTTGCGCGCTAATTCAACGACGAATAATGGAAATCATTAATGCCTTTGGGCTTTCATAATCTTCCAGTAATCTGTTTATTTTGCTGTGTAATGGAGCACTCGCCATGTACCTTCTAGCTGAATAGTTCCTGCCAATATTGCCAGTTAAATATCGCACGTGCAGGTATATCTATTGATTGATCGTGCCTGCGATAGGAAATTACATATTGTATTTTTACATTTCGTTCTCTAATATATTATAGTAAATGCATGTCCCAATCCAGAGTTTATTTTGTTTGAATAAGCTTGCAATAGCAATCTGAAATGACTGTGTATAATAAGAGCTTTTTATTTTTTTTTTCATTTAGTTACAGATATAAGAGATTAATATTTATTAGTGCCGAATACCCAGCGATCAAAATTTCCAATTAAATACCTTACATTTCGATCAACGTTAATTGAAAAATATCGACAATTTTAATCTCGGTTGCCGAATTTGTTGAATTTTCAATGCAAACAAATTTCGCCCGGGGCTATTTTGCCTCATTGTGTTTGCGTGCTTTTTATCCACTATTCAATTATTTTCCTGTGGACGGTTAAATAACCCGAAAATTTGGAATTGTAGAATTGATACAACCCACGGCGGAGTTCCGTGTTTTCATAGCTCATTGAGACATTAACAAGCTCGTGCGAGCGGAGTTTTTTTTTTGGTCGATTATTTGATTGATAACCGTTCCAATAACAAAACTATGTTGGTTTTATGCAAGAAATAATACATTCCCGTTTAATATTCCTATAAATTATTGCCGGCGTAAACGTAATAAACGCAACATCCAGTATATCGTTAATTGCCTAATTAAATTTAGCACTAACCGTTCGCGAATATTCATTTTATATTCGTTTGAATGTCGCAAAAAGCGGCTCGGTGCATACAATGTAACGTTATAAAACCTAAAGATTTTAATTGACCGAACGAGCCTTCGTTAAATCGCTAAAATTTACCACTATCTAGCTAATAAGGCCGTTAATTGGAGGATTTATTCATGCGGATTTTTGAAATTCTGATCGACTCGGACAAGCGATTAAAAATCCGGATTTTTTTAGTTTGCTGTAATATTTTTAATGCCAATTGAATTTGATTTTTCGTTATTTGTTTTAATTTTATTTGAGAGTCATGTGAATAGAGAGAAAAGGAATGTTCTATAATTTTCACATATTTTTTACTTTAATGACTATTTAAAAAAATGTATTATGTATGCAAATATGGTGGAATTTTCACCATTTTAATCGCTCATTTACAATTGCAATTGATCGAATTGAATATATCTACTAATAGTTACAAAATGTTTTGGTTTTATCATTATAGATATGGCTATATTGTATTTAATTATTCCCAGGTAGGTAGATACAACAAACGTGCATTAGATAAATTTTCAATTGCTGTGTTAGAGCTAATGAATTCGAATGATGGCGTGACTGAGATACCATCTCGTATAATATGATTGATAGAATCTTGTACATTTCGGGATGGATGGTGTATATGCGAATGATTGAAGACTTTGTTCGCCAGTTGTTGAATTGTAATTGCCGACAAATTGATGTACATACTGATGATGATCGCGGCCTCGAATTCGACGCTGTACGTCGAGGAAATTATGAATTATTTATTTCCTGGAATGTCTGCGATGCAGTTTCCATTTGCCGTGCAACTGCAGCTAAAATGTTTGCCCGTTTAGAAACTCGACGTGCAATATCTCACGCTGCTATCCGTAATGCTCAATTTCATTTAATTAATGGGGTATATACATGATTTTTGTTCGAGTAAAGTAGTTATATAGACGTATACAATTCGAAATTAACCAACCTTATTCAGTGGGCACTATTCGGGTAATGCAATTTTAAAGCAAAACATTTCAGTGCTCCTTTGAATTTTCGCATTACCGAACTTTTCAACTCGCCTAGACATTTCAATAAAGTTACTTAGCTAAACCCTAAGAACTTTCAACATCAAACTCTTCAAAGTTTTTTTTTTTCGGTGCACCAGAAGAAGAGAAATGTTATCCATTAAAAGTTTTTCACAAGTGATGAATTAAATGCACCCTGTGTATGTATTGCGGGCATATTCGTTGAGCCTCTTCGGACCAATGTTTGTAGAGAATTACCATAAATTTGTAAACACTTTGACTCAATCATTACCATGTTTAAATATAATTATCTATATTTAAAAATCAATTCAATACATTCGCATTTAATAGTATATTTTTATGTGAATCGTAATGTGAAAATAATCTATTTTCCTGTATCATCATTTCTAGCAATGGCCCAAATTTACCCTTCGCTGCTGGTGTTTCCTACTCCATCGTATCCCGGATTTTTTTTACGATGCAAACGGCGTCTCATCGGCGTAAAAAGTTAAAAAAAACTCACACACACACACACAAAAAGTGTTCCTTTTATTTCTGGCGAGAATAAAATCTCGTGCTCACACTCCGGCGAAAGAAAATCGGAACGCGTTTGAGGAATATGGATTGGAATTCCATATTCTGGCATTGTGGATTTATCGAGTGGAAGACGCATTAGAGACAGAAAAGCGTACTAAATTTAATTTCGAAAATGGAATATAATCCGCCGTTTCTCTACTGCCTACTTATATTAGATTTTTTCCGATATGTTCGGATGTGATATACGGCGGTTGGGATTATTGCTCGTGAAAATTTAATGCTTGTTTCAATTAAATTTTACTGCACGGGTTCATTAAAACATGTAGGAGTAAGGTAAGGCCGTAAACGTTGAAACGTTCGTCTAGATTTGTTCTGGAAATGTTTATATAACGAAACGTAGCGGAAGGTCTCATTTTCCACAAGAAAAATATAGAGCGTATGATAAAACGAGCAAGTAAAGTCCGGAGCCTCAAACTCGTTTTAATTAAATAATATCCTGTTTAAATATGCAATTTAATAAAGTGGCGTTATAATGAAAGGTGACGAAAAACGTGTTTTAATATCAAGTCCGCTAATTTAACTTGCCAGTTATTTTCGCCGGATTATGACACATGCCTTTCGTTCAGCACCCCGCGCAATTTTCCCGACGCTTTCGTTATGCGTAAATAATGAGGCTACTTTCGTTTAACGTCTAAAACTGTCGCTTTAACGAATACCTGAAATTTTCATTACGAGGTTAACCTCTAATTTACGCCATTTATATTTAGACACGTTGCTCAAGGTCGCATTTTCCATGCGCATTTCCGTCGCCAATTTGGACTTGTCATCGACAGAAACCATTGAAAACGAACTCGGGATTTCTATTTTCGTTTTCGTCTCGTTAGGAGGGGTTTAATGAATGTAATTTAACTATTCGTAACGAATATCGTTATGTTACGCGAAACGGGATTAATTTTGTTATTCCAGCCATTTTCCCATTCGAATCCTATTTTTATTAACTGCAGCAACTAATTAGCAGGAAAATAGCTCATCCACAGGTGTTGAGTGAATTTGTGTTCCATTAATTCACCCAAATCCCGCTATTTACAATAATCGTCGGAGAAACGTAACTCTATTTAGCGATAAAATGTACTATTAATTCTTCGTAATTAGAGGAATTTCTAGCAGTATTCGTATTTATTAATAATTATAAACTTTAGGGTAAAAAACTATATTAAATTTTTGATAACTTCAAGCTCTATAACGAAAATAAACGAAGTCTTCTATAAGACCGTTCTTTCATTTATCATAGCCTATTTTCAAAAATAGGAAGAATGTGCATCAAAATATAAGCCGATTAAATTTTATAAGTTTGATGTTTTGATTTAGTTCATATTTTCAAACATTTTGAATTAGCTTCAGAAACATTCTATCTCTAAATCCAGCTTTTTGCAGACAATTCCAGTAAACATGAAACAATTTGATGGAAGTTACAACTTTTCGTTTCGAAAATGTTTAATGTAAATTCCGAATGCCCGCGTATAAGGTAAATTCTACTCGCGTCTCTGTAAGAACGAAAATCAAATAGGAAAATAAAAATTGGAAAGCCAAATGCCGCAAAGCAAAAAAAAATATTGTAAACAAAGGTCGACAGCCGAAATTTCCATTACGGTTTGTCAATTTCAGGGATTGCCGGATCATTCCGGTCGGATTTTTTCGCTGAATACCTAACCGTGCACTACTAGTGGATGGATTTACATAAACCAAATTTCCGCGTCGGAACGAAAAAATAAGAAATGCCATCGAATTATTATCGAATCGGCATCGGCGCAATAAATTTCCGTTCGAATCGGCGAAGCGAAATTACGAAGGAACAGTTTCCGATGCAGATTACGAAGGAACAGTTTCCGATGCAGGCCGGACCCATTAAATATTATATTCCCCTGCCTCGTCTTGCTGCGAATTATTGCTGTTACTGGAAATTAAATAAAGGAGTTTTCGAGATTTGCTTGCTCGCTAAAAATTCTGGTTTACAGATCGTTAAGTTTTTGCTTTATTCCATTCTGACGGAACTTTAATTTCATTAAAAATATATCTCCGGAGCGGAGTGAGCGCTGCGCTGTACCGGGCTAGAGGAGACCAGTCGTTCTGTTTATTTTTATTCCTTTTTTTTGTAGATTCTGTACGTATTGTAAAAAATTCGTTTCCTTAATTAAGGGATCCCTTTTTTTGGTCGATTAAGGAACATTTTTTTATTGCTAATTTTAACTCTAATAAATTTATTTGAGCTCCCAAACAGGTTAGGGTTTAGAAGCTTTAATAATAATTATACGCAGTGTAAACAGGTGTTTTCCGTAATTATTATTTTGAGCAGTGTATTTTTAGGAATTAGGTGTATTAATTAGAGCTTTAATAAATTTAATGGTCATGTAGCAGGAACTGAACTGTTTTATTTTTAACGACTAGCAAACAATGACTTAACGCCGGAGTTAAATTTACGCTTTCAATTAATCCGCATAACTTTTAATTAGTCGATTTTAATTAATATTAATAACGCCGTTTTTACGTCGAAACTAAATGGGTAAATATATTCTTTTATTCGTCGAATTTACTGTTGCTCGCGATCATTACCATTATCTTCATTATGCTTTTATATTCCCCAGATGCTCGTGCACCGCACATTTATTTTATTTTTTTTTTGCGCCGAAAGACTCGACCTCTCGCTTTTGCGGCTTTTACTGTTCATTTTTGGGATTCTCTCCGCTACCAACATCAAAAACGAAGTCCCCAGGTGCGTTGATTACGCGGGGGAAAGCGGTAAAGTTTTTTTTTCGTTTCGTCTCGTTTGATAGACGATTCTTTTGTGTTGCACCGATTTCGTTTAAAGAACTACTGAAAAAAACTTTTCGCGAATTTAAGTTCAAATTCCTCGAGTGATACTTTCTCGAAGTACGGCAGAAACTTCGACTGGAAGTTTTCTGTCCCTGATAGCTTTAATTACATATTAAACATACTTATATAATTTTTAGTAGGTATACCTTAGGTGTGCGTTATTAAATTTAGGGAGATAAATAGGTTTTTGGAAAAACATTTTTAGATTATTAGAAGAACGAATATAGCCCATAAAAACTTATATCTCTTATAAAATATGAAAATGGATCAAATGCAGCTTTTAAAATCCATTAAAAACTCATCTTTTAGCGAAAGTTTGTCTATAGGTAATATTGTTATTATTCCATTTTCCAATCCTGAATTATTTATATTTAGAATAAATAATAGATATATTAAAATTACCACCGCAAAAAAAGATTAACTCATTCTACTCGTCGTGATGCATTAGCAATTTACTAAAAACTTGCATAGTTATGCAATTTCCAATTAAAAATTGTAATTAAAACGGGCGAACCTAATCCCGCCAAGACGCGAAATAAAGATTGATTGTAAATTATTTAAAAGGTTTCGTAATTAATTAAGATTTTCTCCTTGCGAAATGTTCCATATTTAAAATTAGTTTTCTTTTCTTCGGCGGAAGAGGAATTAGACGAGAAAAATGAACTGTTACACTCCCGTCGGTGTCGAGTTTCTTGAAATTTAATAAAATCGGGAATGTAAAATATAGCGCTATTATAGTGGATTTTGAAATTCTAATTAATTTTTTTTCCAATAGGTTTTTCTACTTGCACCTGCAAAGTTAACTTTGTTTTATTTTTGGGATTTTTTTACACTTTTCTCGTTAAATTAAAACGTTGGTCTAATAACTTTTAACTTTACGTCAGGTGTCATTACTGTCAATTAGGTCGTTCTACGTCAAAATAGCGTTACGCTATTTCACCGTATCTAATTAAATTCTACCGGCATTCGAGGAACTTCACGCTTTAAATGCAAATTATTTTTCATTTCAGGTGCTGATCAGCGATAACGGATCTCCGGCTCTCTTCTCTACGACTCGAGTGGTGGTTGCCGTCGACGACGTAAACGACAACGTTCCAGAATTCGAGCAAATATCCTACGAGATCCAAATCCCGGCGATAAAAAGCGAAAGCGATCAACCTCTTTTCCAGGTAATTTCCTCGAATTTTCCGACGGCGTACTACCGACTAAATGCAATCGCCCCGACTCCATTTTATTATTTTTCATACGCTTTTAGCGAACAACAAATAACTAAGTTCCAAAAAATTGTGTTAACTTTAAATTTCATAAGAGAGATTGGAGTATAAGCGGTCATAATGAGCATCCGATCTCCCTTAAATTAGGTGGATAAATAGTAAAATTTTTTGCTAATTATAAATGTTGTTTTCGAACGAAATAAAGCTCGTAATTCCGTTTCGAAGGAAGTTTCGCGGAACGCACGCGATTTAAATCAAAATTGTTGGAACAGCAAAAGGATAAAGCATCGGTGTGGTTACGGCCAAAAAATAAACCACTTTGCGGAATTTAATTCCAAAGGAATCCGCAGACCGTGAAGACGACTCGGAGACTTTTCATTTCTCTCGTGTGCTTTCCTTATTTATATATAAATTTTTTCTCCATCGACTTTGGTACTAAACATTTCTCTGCGGTCCTTTGTTTCCTCCGCGGACCGCTAAACGAGTTGCGGAACATAATTCAGAAGGAGAAAGAAAGAAGGATATCGCACTTACAGTTTTTAAATGCGTTTTTGAAAGCGGGAAAATGTGTTTTGGGCGGAGGAAAACGAAACTTTATTCCGGTTAACAGATTTTTACAATCGCCTAAGAGTATTGCGTAATCTACTTAGTCCATTAAGGGTAGGTACTTAATGATTTTTTTTTCTACTGCGAATGATATTAAAATGGCATTATTTCGATTTGTGAATTTTAATTCGAGTATTAGAAAAGAGAATTCCGAAACGTCACCAATAAATTTCGCTCGAAACCCACATTTCATTAATTATCTGATACCTTGTCGTTCGCCGTTGGAAATACTTACTGAAAATGACTTTTAATTAAATTCCTAACGTTAATCAAGCAGGAATAAGGAAAACAAACGGTATCTAATTAAAAGAAATTTAATTTAAAAAAAAAACCTGCTTCGTGTATACAGATTATATAACCTGTGTGTAGGTAAGTATTATACAAGCTATAGCTCACGTGCACGTAAGCCGCGGCTACAAGGGTGCAATTAGGCCCACGTATAATTAGGATTTCAATCGCAACGAAATATATATTTCCACTTTACGTGCGATATATCGCCCCAAAGAAACCCCCGGAAAGCGATTTCTCGCCTATAATCTAGTTTCAGTACCTACGCGGATTATCCGCGAGGCGTTAATCGACGTAATGAGATTTTGTATAAATTTGAATACCCATCGAATCTCGTATAATCTGATGACGTTTTAATGCAGAGAGACACGCCCTACCACGATTTCGAAGAGTTCGATGACGCCCCGTCAAGGGACGAAGATATTTGGGAGACTTTCGGGCCCGGCGACGTTTTAGGGCTCGATAAAGTGTTGCGGGTAAGCCGATGACGTACGCCCAAAGCTAGAAAAGAATTGGTCAAGCAAGAGAAGTGTCGGCTATTTGACAAGTTTGACTTTTGACGTATCGATGTCACTAAAGTACCAAGGATTGCTCGGTGTAATTTAATCCTATGTAAACCAATTTGTGACGCAACATAAATTTATCGATTAAAGCTCGGAGTATGTAAGATAATTTGATGTTGCAAATGTGCAAATATAAAATTTTACAATGTAAATAATCCGATAATAAATTTTCATATGCTTTTCGCTATTTTTTTATGAAATTTGCTTCAAAAAGTGGATACCTCATTTCTCATTTTTTCATGAAAATTTCAAATTTTAGGAAATTCGAAATCGACATTTTTGTTAATAACTTATTTCTTTATATTTTTAACTTATTTCGTGATATTGACATAAAAAGACAAATTTTGCGATTCTGTTACAGATCTGTCTGTGTTAATTGATGTGTAATATTACTCAAAATACGCAAAATTTGCAAAAAATTCACCTTGCATACAATCCGAGCTTTAATAATAATAATGTACTTGAGCAATCCTTAACCTTAATGAAACGTCATAAGAAAATCTTGTAAAGTTTTAAATTGCAAGAGCTAATCTCTTGTATAATGGAGGTTGGTTCGAATCTGAATTTAGCAGCGATAAAGTAACTAAAGGAGTGTTTGAATCGCTCGCGATGAATTCGGATCAATGTGTATTTCATGTCTGAAAGAACCTTATCCCGGCTGAAATCAACATCGTAGTTTTCCTCTCGCCGACTGCCGACATTTCTCTTCCACCTTGCATTTTAGATTTGCGGCCGTACGGAACGTTTACGTGTTTTCGTGACACGCTAATCGAAAGCATGACATTCTTTAGCCGTACCTAATTCTCGAAACTAATATTTTAAATATTAAGGTACATTCTGCTTGAACGTATAGTCCGCTAGAACGTCGCATTTTGTTGTGAATTTATCATCCGGTTGGACCGAAATTCTCTATTATTCAACGCGTATTACTCCAAATTTCAATTAGTGTATTACACGAACTAGCCAGTGATTGCGCAATGAATTTAAAAACGTCTATTGCACAATTATTTTACTAGTTCCATGAAGAATTTTTTGTCCAACTTTACAGCATATTACCTCTATAACTCATTTGAATGAAATGTAAACAATTAACAGTAGGTAATTAATATTATTAGCTAGAATTCTATAAACGAATCGTAAATGGTAGATTTATTTTAATGTATGTAAGTACTTCTACTTTTCCACAATACCTATACTCTTTACTTCACCCTTCTTTTACTTCTATCATACTAATAATTATTGCAGGTTCAACAAGGAGATTTTCACTGAAATAATATTTATAGGTACTATATTACACGCATTTGCATTTCTCTATTCATCCCTTAAAATTCCTACTTAAACAAACTCATGACCTTAAATAAACACACACGCTTCCTAGCACACCCTTACACGTACACAGGTACTCTATAAACACTAGTTAAACTGATTCGCTTTGGTTATATTCGCATAAGCGAGAGAGGCGAAATGGCTGTGTGGAGATTAAATTAAGTGTAATGAAATCCTAACAAAATTATGTTTTTACGGTCGTAAAATTTGTCCATTTTTAATAGAAACGGGAGTTTTACATATGGAGTTTATAGATTATTTGAGCGAGTTATTTTTCCTGCAATTACGATTGCTAGGAATTTAAATGCGAAGCTTATTGAAAACGATATAAATTAAATTAAAATACGTGGCTTTTGATGAGTTTAGTTATATTAAAAGGTCAACTGCTACTATCAATCAATTTTATTTGCAATCCCAATTTTAGAAATACCTAATTTATATCTTGAACGGAAATTATGTTATACTGGGAAACGTGTATGGCAGCACTTTAACGTTCATTAATTTAAAATACATTTCCTTATTTTCATCGGTCTGATTTATAGATTCTCGATAATGCATCGGATTACATTTTCCTCTATTTCGTGTTTGCATGATAGACCCTTCGAATTTATTTATCGTTTGCATTAAAATATTCAGCGAATTGACGTCGGGCCGTTTTTTATTCTTTTGTAGGTTTTGGCGTTCGACCGAGATATAGGGCAAAACGCTCAATTAAATTACCATATTAAATCTGGAAAAGGTCGGACCAAATTCAAAATTGATAATGGCACTGGCATAGTGTACGCTCAAAAACCACTCGCTGTCGGAGAGGAATACGAATTGAATGTGAGTATATGTTTCGCTAATTAATTGTCGATATAATTGGGGTTGAATCTTTATCGATTATACAGGATGGCTCGTTACTACTGCAATACCTAAAATTTTGAGTTTGCGCCATCCTGTATTGGAAATGATTTGGTGTGTTTTCTACATATGGTTCAAATAATTTTCCATAGATAAAAGTTACCGATTCGGGGGATCCACCGAAGCATAATGTTTGCAAAGTTGTCGTACGCACCGTAGCGATTCTGTCGACATCAAAACATCCGCCTGTTATTGTGAAAAATCCTTTGCCTGTGAAGTTAACAGAAAGCGACGAAATAGGACTTCTAGTAGCTTCGATTTCCGCCAGCGATCCTGATAACGATACTCTTTGGTACGATATCGTCGGTAAGTCGTTGATTTTATTCCTAATTTACACGATATGTTTACACCGATTTAATGCGAACGATGAAATCCTCGTTTAAAAGCGCGGAAATATCGCGTAACGCCGTAAAAACTTTTAAATCGAGTCTAATTCTTCTGCAAACAACTTCAAAAATGTTAATTGCAATTAAACTCGACCATCTCTTCTTTCATTCGTGATGAAAACTGACGATACAATTCCGGATAACCGGATTAAAGCAACTTTTTTCAACGACTCTAATTAAAGTTCTTATGGGCCTTTTGTTCCTTAACGATCCTTATCTTTATATCGTTTGAGTTTTGCTGTGCGGCGCATTAGATTATTCGCGGTTTAATGATCATAATTTCGGTTGGAATTATTATATAAACTCTTCATTTCTTGTTTGAAAATCTATAATTATATCAATTCGTTTCATAAAAAAACTTTTTTAATGTGTACTACCATCACCATTTATTTAATCACCCCGTGCTTAAAAATTTTGGTGTTAATTTTTCCATTTTTTCCTCCTTTTAGATGGTAACGAACGCAATGATTTCTTCATCGGTAGAGACATCGGCAACATCCTAATAGCCCAACGATTGGATTACGAGACTCAAAACGAGTACTCCTTAAACATAAGCGTCACAGATTCAGTCCACACCATTTACACGCGACTAAATATCTCAATACTGGATATAAACGACAACAGACCTGCCTTCTCGAGCAGTACTTACAAAGTGGAAATATCCGAAGCAGTACCTCTCTACACCGACATATTCAAGCTGAAAGCGACTGATAGAGACTCCAACGAGAACCTCGTGTATAGTTTCCACTGCGCCGAAAACATTATTTCGTTAAGGACGTTTATGATCAACCATTCCACGGGAGTGATATCCTTGGCCGCCAGCTTGGATAGGGAGTCTCTAAACGAACACGTGCTCACAGTGATGGTCAAAGACGGCGGCATCCCGGCCAAAAAGAACTTCGCCCGCGTCCACATCATCGTCCACGATCACAACGATCACACCCCCACGTTCGCCGACAAGATCCTCGTGGGGAAAGTCTTCGAATCCTCCGCCGTAGGCAGCGCCGTACTAAGGGCGTACGCGGTGGACCACGACCGAGGCGAGAACGCCCGCATATCCTACTCGATCATCTCCGGCAACGTCGGCAACGTGTTCAAAATCGACGCGGAGATGGGCACCATCAGCGTGGCGCGGGAGCTGGACCTCACCACCGTCAAGGAGTACACTTTGCACGTGAAGGCCACCGATCACGGCCAACCGCCGCTCTCGTCGACCGTTCCCGCGCACATTATGATCACCATGGCGGACAACGCGCCGCCCAAATTCGTGGCGAAAGAACTGGCGGCGGAGATCTACGAAGACCAGCCGCTGGGGAGCTACGTGGCGCACTTGGAGGTGAAGAGCACCTCGTCGTTGCAGTTCGAAATCATCTCCGGGAACGACGGCGGCGCTTTCGTCATCAGCCCGAGCACCGGCGTACTCACCACTAATAAATATTTGGATTACGAGACCGTCAAGTATTACAATCTCTCCATCATTGCTACTAATATGGTAAGTGTTGGTTTTCTTCATCATTTGCTTCGACCTTATATTAGGCGAGTTATTTTTGTCAATTAGGTCGTTATCGTAAAATTTCATTCAATTCCAGGCATCGATTTCGGCGACCTGTAACATCGTTATCCACATATTGGATCGCAACGATAACGTCCCGGAGTTCTTACAATCAAATTACTACGGTACGATAAGCGAATCGGCTCCGATTCAATCTCTGATTTTAACGAACACGAGCGATCCGTTGGTGATAAAGGCGTTCGACGCCGATTCCGAGGGAAATTCCCTCTTGGAATACACCATAGTCGAAAACTTGCCGAGACGGTACTTCGAGATAGACAGCAATACGGGCGCTATTAGAGTGATTAGGTTGTTAGACCACGAAACGCACGCCAGTTTTACGTTTCACGTGCAAGTATCCGATTTAGGGTCGCCTAAATTATCATCCGATACGACGGCTAGGGTCGATATAGACGTTATCGACGTTAACGATTCCCCGCCGATATTCGACAGTCCTATCTACAACGTCACTTTGTTGCTGCCTCTGTACAGAAACGTCGCCGTAGTCGAAGTAAACGCTACCGATCCCGATGGCACCGAAACCGGTACCCTTCGGTACGACATAATCGAAGGAAACAAACTCGGCATATTCGACATAAACTCCAAAACCGGCTTGATAACTTTAGCGAAACCCGACGATTTGAAACCCTCGTACAAACTCCACGTGAGAGTATCCGACGGAAAATTCTCCAACGTAGCCAAAGTGTACGTGAGAGTCGACGAATCCGACAACTCGGGTCTAATCTTCCAAAAATCCTTCTACGAAGGCACCGTGGTGGAGAACTCCACGAAAATCAACCACGTCTGCGTCGTCAACGTGCTCGGCAGCTCGCTGAACGAGCACGTCGAGTTCCGCATACTCAATCCCACGAACCTGTTCACCATCGGGCCCACGTCGGGCGTGATCAGAACCACCGGCCTGGAGTTCGACAGGGAGATCCAGGACAAGTACGAGCTCATCGTGGAGGCCAAGAGCAACGCGCCGCCGCGCGATCGCCCGCGCGTCGCCCACGTCATCGTTAACGTTACCGTTTTGGACGTTAACGATAACTGCCCGATGTTCGTGAATTTGCCGTACTACGCGGTGGTGTCGGTGGACGATGAGAAGGGTAGTACCATCACGAAAGTGCACGCGGTGGATCTGGATAGCGCTGAGAACGGGGAGGTGCGGTACGAGCTCATCAAAGGCCACGGGGAACTGTTCAAAGTCCAACGGGATTCCGGTAATATTGAAATCAAGCAGAATTTGGAAGGCCACAACAAGGAGTACGAGCTACTGATCGCTGCGTATGATAAGGGTGAGTAAATTATTTAGGGAGTAGATCAATCGATATATCAAGTAACTACTATTAGTTATTTCTGATAAATATTTAAGCTCTTCTATTAATAAGCTTTAAGGATTACATCGTGTATACTACCAGCGTTGCGATGTAATGCGAGTTGTATTACAATTCCAGATGTAATCCTATAAATACTCGTATCGCATAAAATAACTCTCTGTTAAGTTTTTTGTTTCCTAATATAAAAGCATTTATCTGCACTTTCAACTGGAATACTATTTCGAATTCAGAGTTAGAGACTACGTACGAAATTTTAACTAAATGCAATTTTCGAACATTCTGCGGGGTTCTCGCGAAACTTTCCATTGACAAACTGTTGTAAATTACGAAAACCTATACAGTATCTTCCTTTTGAAGTTTCCTAATATCAGTACTAGCGAATCGATTCGCCTGAAACGATTTGCCAAATTTATTGAATAGGTAACTGCGGAAAATCTACGATATTAAGTTTGAACCCGACGACAGCAGGATCTCTGTAGTCGTAAAGGATGATATTTATGTAGCAGGATTTTTGTTATGCTGACGATTCTTTTTTTGAATTTTTTTGATGTCATCTTTAGATGGGTATTTGCAGGATTTCTAATCGAAAATTAAATGAAACATTTCTTATAAAATCAATAGAAAATTTAACCAAAATTAAGAAAGTAAATGAACGTACTCTATTCCCTTTAAAGATATCAAAGCGAAAATAAATTGTTCGAACAAAGCGTTAAAAGAACAAACTCATATTTTGTCTTCAATTTTCCGGCAATCATGTTCCGGAGCGCTTCGATCTAGCTAGCAAATTCCGCGCCCGTCTGGCTCGACGGCATTATTCGAACCGAGCGAAATCCCGCGTCTCTATTATCGAAAGCCCGCTTAATCAATTTTAAGATAGGAGCGACAAATTCCGGGGCGAGAGCGCGCCGGAGCGCTAATCACAACTAACGACTCCGTTTTTTTTCAGGAATCACGCCGTGTCGAACCGATGTAACTGTACACATCAAGGTGATAGACAGGTCTATGCCGGTTTTCAAAAAGCAATTTTATTCGGAGTCAATACCGGAAAATGTCGAATTACATTCGCCGTTGTCGATTTCCATCGAAGCCGAGTCACCGCTGTCTAGGAAACTTATTTATAGCATTGTTAAAGGAAACGAGATGGAGCAATTTGCGCTCGATTTTAACACAGGTAAGCCAATTTTCGAACGTTGTTCTGCTATTAACTTTAGAAATTACTTATTAAGGACTACTGGTTTATTATTCGCTATGTCCCTTCTTTACAGTCATTCCGTATTGTCGGTGATGGGTTTTTTTACAGTAATTACTTCTTTTCCGTAGTACCTCTACATTTATTTTATAGTTAATTACTTAGATATCTTGTACTTAAATTGGTATCATTAATTGTGTATTATTAAATTATATTAGATCTAACCTACTTATCGATTAATTTCTTTTCCACAGCACCCGATACTAACACAGGTCCCTGTGAGTATTATACGATATAAACTTTTTATTAGTCACGAGTTTTTCCGCTATTCAATAGTGTTGCTTAATGTTTCTGGTAAAAATGTCATGTAAGTTCGTTCGTGAATTATTAAAGTTCTGACAAGTTAATAATCATACAATTCATAGGCAATTTTTTATTCATGAACGAATTTATTGCATCTGAAAGCTTTGGGATTAAAATCGCTTTTTATTGGTTATTTGCTTACACTTTTATAGATTTTTTTGGCATGTTACAATTGATTAAATGAATGAACCATTTTTGTTTTATACAGGATGCTAGCGAACCGAAAAATATTATCCTTCCTACTATCGCTATCCTACTATCGCTTCCACCCTGTATAATTTACCACGCTTTTGGCCTATTAGCACTATATCCTGCGATTCCCGCACTACAATTAAACAATCATTCCGCAGGTGTAATATCGGTGGTAGACGAACTCGATTTCGAAGAAAAATCCCTGTTCGACCTGATCATCAGAGCCACCGACTCTGTATCGGGAGTGTACGCGGAAGTGCCGGTGTCCATAGTCCTGCAAGACGTCAACGATTGTCCGCCGGAATTCACCGAGGAAAATTACAACGTATCGATATCGGAGGCGGCGCAATTCGGCACCCCTATACTCACCGTCCTAGCCCTCGACGGCGATACGGGAATTAACAAGGAGATCACCTACTCCATCGCCAAGGACGACGGTAAAGAGAGCGAGTATTTCTTCATCGACGAGGACGACGGGACCATTTACTTGAAGCAGTCTCTGGACCACGAAGAGGCTAACTTGCACCATTTCGTCGTCGTGGCGACCGATAGAGGAGTGCCCAGTTTGGCCAGCACCACACACGTCTGGTTGAAAGGTACAACCTTGCTTAATACCTCGTATTACTAACTCTATAATGGATATTGCCTCTGCAGTGCTGGACATGAACGACAACCCGCCGAAGTTCGAGCAATCGAGCTACGCCTGCGGCCTGTCGATCGGCGCCAAGCGCGACCAATTCGTCACCGTGGTGCGGGCGAGCGACCTCGACGAAGTCGACGCCGACAACCTGCGCTACTCCATAGCGAACGGCAACGATCACCAGACGTTCTCCATGGATCCCGCCACGGGCGTGGTGACGCTGACCAACTTGGCCAACTTCGGCGCGCAGCCCGTCATGCTGCTGAACGTGTCGGTCTCCGACGGCGTCTACACGGCGTTCGCGCGGCTCAAAGTCGAGCTGTTGCCGGCCAACGCGCACCCGCCGCTCTTCATGGACATCATCAGGGACGTGCAGGTGCCCGAGAACCGGCTGCCGGGCTATCCGGTGACGGTGGTCAACGCCAGCGACGCGGACATGGGCGAGTTCGGGGTGGTTACGTACGGTATTCACTCGCCGGCGCTCGCCGAGGTGTTTTCGATCGAGAAAAATTCCGGTAAGGTCACCACGAAAGTGAAATTGGATAGAGAGAAGCACAAGATGTACGAGATACTGGTCAGCGCCACCGATGGCGGTGGTTTGTCCGATTTTATGACGGTTAGAGTTAAAGTTACCGATGAAAATGATAATCCTCCAAAATTTTTGTTGAAAGAATATAAAGTTAGTATACATTCTAATCTAACTACCAGCACCAGTTTCGCTAGAGTTAAAGCTACCGACGACGACGATGGTTCCAACGCGGAAATCACTTACTCAATCTACGAGAAGAGACAATCCGAAGTAGGGAGTATATTCGGTATAAATCACGTTACCGGGGAACTTTTCCTGCTCAAAAACGTTTATACTTTTGGTAGGTTTTCAAACCGAAAACGATTAATTGTAGTGCTTAATCATCATTTATTTCTTCTTGCAGTTGGTAAGACTTTTCAATTTTTCGTAAGAGCCACCGATCGCGGACGACCGGAAAGACATTCGGACGTTCCAGTTAACGTGCTGATTATGGGACCAAAGGATTACCCGCCGATTTTCGAAAGGGACGTCGGGAAATTCTTCTTATCGGAAAACTCCGCTACAGGTAGGAAATTGAATCGATCGATATTAGTTTTTTGTTCCATCGTAACTTCGAATTATTCGTTCCAACTTTTTATTAGCATCATTTTGCGGGAGAGACTACGTTCTTCAACTCTTCAAATTTGCATAATTTTATTATCTCTTCGAGTTTAAGCGGAATTTCGATTTTGCGAGAAGCTTATAGATAAATCGAAATAATCCTGAATAATTATGCATTTTTTAATAACTTTAACCAAAAATTACCTCTTTCTATTTTCTCCAGGAACTGTTATAACAAGACTGAAAATGATCTCCAATATATCCGTCAATTACGAGATAATATCCGATTCTGACGAAGATCCCCAATTCACCATCGACTCCCAAGGGCAAATATCGCTGGCGAAGCCGCTGAATTTCGAAGCCCAAAGTTCGCACTTCATCGGCGTCCTGGCCCTAACCGACTCCAGCCCGCCGCTGGTTGCTCTCGCCGAAATCGTCCTGCAAGTTCAGGACGAAAACGATCACGCGCCGCAATTCGAGAGCAACCTCTATCACCTCAATCTGGCCGAAAACGTACAAGAAGGGAGATCGGTCCTAAGAGGTAAGTGTATCACGAATCTTGATTCTTGACCAAAGGGAGTAGGGATCTTAAAAGATAGATTGATGGGATCCAGGACTAAGAAGTTTAATTCTGTGGGATCAATCTGTGATCATTTACTTGGGTCTTGGTCCTGGTACTGAACATTAATCTTGGGCTGTGGATCTTGAAACTTAGATCTTGTCAACGAGATTCAGAGCTAAGTTCTTTGGTCTTTATAGCTTGAATCATGAAACATTAATCTAGAATCAATTACATGGGTCTTGGATATCGTGGTTCTTGTACAAAATTAATCTTGGACTGGGTGGGGATCTTGAGACTTGGATCTTTGTCGGGTCCCAGGACTAAGGCCTTTGGTCCAGGACTGCTTGGTCTTTATACTTGAACCAGAAATCACTTACATGGTTCTTGGAACATGGGGTTTAGATCCATTAAGACCTTATGAACCTTCAATATTCTTGTTTAGTAATGGCTCTGGTCCTTGGACCATAAGATCTAGATCCATTAAGACCATATAAACCTTTATTATTATTTTTAGTGATGGCTCATGATGAAGACCAAGGCAACAACGGCGAGATCCGGTACAACTTCGGCCCGGACATCGGAGCAACGGCGAATCTCTTCGCTATAGACGTCCATACAGGATGGATTAGCGTCATCGCCAAATTGGACAAGGAAGTGAAGCCCGAGTACAAATTCTTCGTGACGGCCACCGATAACGGATCGCCCAAGCACTCGGCCAGGACGACCGTGCTGATTCGATTGAAGGACTACGACGACAGTCCTACGACGTTTAAGGAAAGATTTTACAACAGCTCGGTGAAGGAGGACGCTTTACCCGGAACTGTTGTGTTGACTTTGGATACTAGAGATGACGATATAGATTTATCCACTCCTGTTGAGTTTTATATTGTATCAGGCGATATCAGCGCAGACTTTCAAGTTAAACAAACCGGTGAAATATACGTAGCAAAAGCTTTGGATCGTGAGAAGATTCCTGTTTATAATTTAGAAGTAATAGTCACCGATGGATTGTATACGGATAAAGCTAACATTCAAGTGGTTATTGAAGATGTTAATGGTAAGATTCTTATTATTACCTCACTTGTGTAATTTATTAAACATTAAACATTACCTTTTCAGATAATCCTCCTTATTGCATGAAGCATAGATACCGCGAAACGTTATCGGAAGGACGAATTCCAGGATCCTACGTCCTGACAGTTCTAGCGACCGATATAGACGGACCTGAACACTCGAAATTACGCTACGTTTTGAGCGGTAACGGTTCGGAAAACTTTTCACTAGACAAAGAAACGGGCATATTAAAAACCGTCGCTTACTTGGACAGAGAAAAGCAATCCAAATACTTACTCACCGCTCACATACACGACAAAGAAGTGGCCGTCTGGGAGTGCTCCTCTAAAATCGAGCTGATTATATCCGATCTGAACGACAACGCGCCCTTGTTCTCCCTACCTTACTATTCCATCAGCCTACCGGAGGACGTGGAAGTGGGAATTTTAGTGACGAAAATCCACGCATCGGACGCCGACGTCGGCATCAACAGAAAAGTGAAATACTCGTTCATAGACTCCTTCCACGACCATTTCCGCATCGAATCCGACAGCGGCATCGTCACCCTAGCCAAACCCCTCGACCGGGAACTCCGAGCCATGTACAATCTAACCATCCAGGCCACCGACCAGGGCGCTCCGCAGCTGACCAGCACCGTGCAGCTCGTCGTCAACGTGCAAGACATCAACGACAACCCGCCGGAGTTCGAGACCAAGTACTACTTCGCCATTGTGCCGGAGATCGACAACGTCGGCACCGAAATAGCGCGCGTGCTGGCCACGTCCAAAGACATCGGAGCCAACGCTGAGGTCTACTATTCCATCATCGGCGGCAACGAGCACAAGAAGTTCGCGGTGGATAACAAAACCGGCGTGATCACCATCGCCGACGCGCTGGATTTCGAAAGGGCCAAGGATTATTTCCTCACTATTCAAGCTATCGACGGTGGGCTTCCTCCGCTGAGCAACGTAGCTACCGTGAATATTACCGTGGTGGATTGTAACGACAACGCGCCCGTTTTCAATCAGGCTTCGTACAGCGCTAGGATTAAAGAAGACGCGCAAATCGGGGATAAAATACTGCAGGTAAGGACAACTCTCGGGCGCTGAAGCTGGATAGTTCTATAAAGTGTTTTGTTTGCGTAGATTGTCGCTACCGATTTGGATAGCGACAAAAACGGAGAAGTCTCGTACTCGATCGTAAAGGGCAACAATCAAGGGCAGTTCGAAATCGACGAAAAGACCGGCTACGTTTACGTGGCGGCCGATTTGGACCGAGAAACCGTGTCCAGTTACGTGTTGGAAATATTGGCCAAAGACAGCGGCGTGCCGGTGCTATCCAGGCAGACTTTGCTCAACATCGAAATATCGGATGCCAACGATAACGCGCCGGTATTTTCGCAGACCAATTACAGTGTCATCGTGCAGGTAAGAACACTATTTACTTAACCACTAGCACCGCATATTTACAGGTTTATATTCATTCTAGGAGGACAAACCCTTCGGCTATTCCATCTTGAAATTCGACGTAACCGACGACGATACGATTCCCAACACGGTTCCCTACACGTTCGACTTCCGCAGCGGCAACGAAGGCAACAGCTTCAGATTAGACCAAGACGGCGTTCTCAGAACAGCGACTAAATTCAACCATAAACTCAGAGATACTTATTTGCTGCAAATCCGAGTGTTCGACAACGGCAGCCCGCCGCTGTTCTCCGACACCTGGGTGGTGGTGAAAGTGATAGAAGAGTCCCAGTACCCGCCGATAATAACTCCTCTGGAAGTGAACATTAACAGTTACCTAGACGAATATCCCGGCGGTATAATCGGTAGAGTTCACGCCAATGATCCGGATCAATACGACACTTTAAGCTTCGCTCTGTCACCGACCGCTGGGATTTCTTATCCCACGTACGAGCTGTTTACGATCAATAAAACGGACGGTACTTTGAGAGCGCTACCTCGCTTAGATGCCGGGGATTATAGACTGAATGTAACCGTCACGGACGGGAAGTACACCACGCACGCTATAGTGAAAATCAACCTGGAAATCCTCTCGGAGAACATGCTAGAAAACGCTGTTGGAGTACGATTCAGAGACGTCAAACCCGAAACGTTCGTTCTAAGCCATCGAAAAGGCTTCGTGCGAGCCATCCGAAACGCAATGAACTGCAGACTGAAAGACGTTATAATCATAAGCGTCCAATCGTCCGCCAACGAAGACTCCCACCGAACCAAACGCTACAGCAACAAAGACCTCGACGTGCTATTCACCGTGCACAAACCCGAAGAAGGCTATTTCCCCGCCGACACCATCCGAAAAACCCTCAACGACAATCTCCAAGAACTCGAAGAGAGCACCAAGCTCGTCGTCGAGGAGATAGTGAAGCTGAAGTGCAGCAACCAGTACTGCGTCTACGGCCTCTGCCAGGACCACTACGTGCTGGACGCCGGCAGCGTCGATCCGATTTGCACGGACGTCACCAGCTTCGTGTCGCCCAAGCACCGGCAGCGGCTCGAGTGCGTCTGCAAGGAGGGCTACGGCGGCGACAAGTGCGACGCCATCGTCAACGAGTGCGCCCGCCAGCCGTGCGAGCCGTTCAAGCTGTGCGTGCCCGACTCCTCGCCGCTGGGCTACTCGTGCCAGTGCCCCGAGGGGTACGCCGGCGCCGGCTGCGAGGTGGACGTGTCCAAGTGCCACGACAACAACTGCTACATCGCGCGGAATCCGATTTCGTTCGGCGGCAAGAGCTACTCGCAGTACAGGATCATCAACAAGAAGTCGATCGAGGATAGGTTCAGTTTGAGTTTGAGGCTGAGGACCGTTCAGCCCACGGGGAATATCCTCTATGCTGCCGGGAAAATTGATTATATTATTCTCGAGGTGAGTTCGTTGGTTCTATACCACATCCACTGAAGCTTGGCGTTTGCTTGCTTAATGCAAATGTTCAACTACATTAGGCGATTATTGATTGATTCTTTCCAATTTTCTTAGATCGTGAACGGCAGGATCCAGTTCAGATGCGAACTGGGCAGCGGCGAAGGAATCGTCCGCATTCCGAACGTCTTCATATCGGACGGCAACTGGCACGAGATAAAGCTCGAACGGGACCGCAACAACGCGAAGATCTTCATCGACGGCATCCACAACGCGCAAGGCTCCACGCCGGGCATCAACGAGATCCTGAACCTCCAAAGCGACGAGCTCTATCTGGGCGCCGAGGTGCACCAGCACCCCTCGGTGCTCGGCTTCGAGGACATCCAAAAGGGCTTCGTGGGCTGCATGGACGACATCCGATTGTCGCGCGTGTCGGTGCCCCTGCACAAATCCGGCGAGAACTCCGTGGTGATCCTGAAGCGGTTCGCCAACGTCGAGTTCAGCTGCGACACGTCGAGCGTGCTGGTGCCGGCCGGGCCGTGCGGCTCGCAGCCCTGCATGAACGGCGGCACCTGCAAGGAGACGAACAACGGCTACGAGTGCTATTGTCACGCGAGGTACAAGGGCAGCCTGTGCGAGCGCGACACCGATCCGTGCGCGTCCTCGCCCTGCCTGTTCGGCGGCAAATGCACGCCCACCGTTACAGGGGACTTTACTTGTGAGTGCGTTAATAGGCTGACGGGGAAACGGTGCGAGTACGGTAAATATTGCTCGCCGAATCCATGCAAACACGGCGGCGTGTGCGAGGAGGGCGACGAGGGACCGTTGTGCAAATGCCGGGCGTTTACCGGCGAACATTGCGAGTTCGATTTGAACGAATGCGAATCGTCGCCGTGCCAAAACAGCGGTACGTGCATCAACGATTTCGGTTCGTTCCATTGCGTTTGTCCGCCGAACGTTACCGGTACTTTTTGCACGAACATAATTTACACTGGATCGTTTGCAACCTTCTACAAAGCCATAAAAGACTACATCTTCTACATCGTCGGCCTCGCCGGATTCTTCCTGGTGCTCGTAATAGCCAGTTGCGTGTGCTGCATATGCTACTGCAGGAACAAGAGGAAGCGCAACCTGAACAACGGCAACATCAACATCAAGGAGAACATCGTGTTGAATTCGAATCGATCGCACGAGCTGTCCGAGTTCAAGCGCGGCTCGAAGATCAGCAACCTGGAGATCAACCAGCGCGAGCTGCCGGCCCATCAGCCGCGGCCCGTCTCCTACACGCCGAGCTCGCAGAACGATCCGCTCTACGCGGGCAACAGCTACAATCCGGCGACGGTGATGCTGAACAATCTGGACACGTTGCGCAGCTACGGTTCGGCCGGCGACGAGCTGGAGAACGCGCAGCACGACTACGTGCGGCCCGACTACGTGAAGAACCTGAACAGGAACACGCCGCCGGGTTGCATCAGCAACCACTACGACGCCGAGAAGTCGACGTTCGCCGAGCAGATGCACTCGCTGAGCGACCGGTCGAAGATCAAGAAGGGGTCGAACGTGCTGCCGGAGTACGTCAAGGTGGCGGCTTCGAATAACTGTGATATTACGAATAGACTGTACGGCGGTCGGAGCAACGGCGCCAATAATATTAAGAGCAACGGTACCGTTGGCGGCGACGAGCAGCGGAATACTGGAAGTAAGTTGATTGGTTTTTTTTTATTAATTTATAAGCACTATAAATGGTCCTTCGTTTGGTTGTAAATTCATTTAAAGCAGTAGTTTTGGTAGCAGTAGTCAGTTTAATTTGTTATACAAAGAGTAAAGCAATGTAGACTTTAAATACTAAGTGTTACTTCTAAAATTTTCTTTTATATAAGGTCTTAAATTTTATACTTTGTTCGGCATCAGGAGGTAGTAATAAATCTAATTTTGTAGGCCAAAAAAAGAACGAGTGACTCAACGAAATACATTACCTATTAGACTTTTTGTGGAATAGTACTTACTCTTATTTTTTTCTCAATTTTTGATCGATTTTGATCCATTTTTAGCCAATTTTTTGTTCAATTTTTAGTCAATTATCGACCTAATCTTTAGCCAATTTATGATCAATTTTTGGTCGATTTTTTATAAATTTTTAGTCGATTTTCAATCAAATTTTAGCCATTTTTCATCAGTTTTTATAAGCAATCAATACTGCTCCATGAATAAGGTTTTATTACAATCGTCCGATAGCGAACGGAGTATAATTATCTGTTACTAAACTACTGGAAACATCTACTTAAACATCCACAAAAAAACTGTATACTACAAATACAACTAACAATGCAGTTTATTTTTATAATATAAAGTTTTATTTTCACTTCAAATTATTGTACAATTTCATTTTTTTAAATATTAGTACTCAATTCACTCGAATCAACTGCATTCGTTAAGTAAAGTCATTAACGGAGCAGTCACTTTAATCTACATATTAGTACTATAGTCGATATTTTCATAAAATGGTGATCGATTTCTGCTATGCTTGATTAGTATGTAGATTTGTAAAGAAAAAAATATCACGCTTGCAATTCAACATTAGAACGTACGTAGCTTTTACTGTATGATACATTCGAGAAAACCATTTTGTATAAAAGGGCTGCTTGGTAACTTCACCATCCATCCTACACATTATACTTAGTTCGTATTTATACCCTACTAACACTACATTATAATAATAATAATATATTAAGAGAAACGAGTAAGATTTTATCGGTTTCTACACCATCGAATACGAACTAAGTATGTATTAATTTGATTAGGTTATCATTGGGACTGTTCGGATTGGGCGCGTCATAGCCAGACATTGCCTAACATAACAGAGGTGCCCGGCAGCGAAATACCCGATTCCTCTAGCTTTCACAGTAACGAAAGTAACGAATCCCATTACCATCCGCATGTCGCGTCCATATCAGGCAACTATCAGGACGCTCGTCGGGATATCGAGACGCTCAACGAAGAGAACGAAATGCTCTATAACGACGTGTACAGAACGAATCGAATCAGTCCCAGTCTCAGCGGTCTCGATAGCGGTAACGAAGAATTTAGATTCACCACAGGTATATTTTTTTTTTAATTTTTAGTGTTGGTTTCGTGCCGAAGGGTTGATTGAAACGAGGGGTTTCGATTGACTTGTGTATATATTTCGAAACTTTTAATTGTATTATTTTATAGTTTGGAGGGAAACGTCATTTTAGGGTACTGAAGTCAGTAAGTTCAATCGTGTGAAGTTTTGCATACCGATTCTAACAGCATTGAATTTTTTTGTTTGAAAATTAAAGAGAAATGTATAAAAAAATTTTCGCGATTTGTTTACTTACAAACTGATATTCTTCTGTAGTATTTCTAATGGTTAGTTTAATATAAATTTTTATTTCTTTCTAACGCAGTGCCTTTAATCATTATTAAACCTAGTGAGTATTCTTTTGTAATATAAGCGCATGTTTAACTTCTGCATGAATATACCGATGAAGTATCACGCATTTTTCACTTAATATTATCGTACGAAACTGTTAACTATTTCGTGTGTTTGAACTGAGTTCTCGAATCGATAATATTCGTAACTCGGTTTTGAAACACATTTTTACAGTGCATGTTTTTTAGGTAGTTATTTTTCTGTTTCTAGCCGAAAGTTACGCACGTCATCCGAATACCTATTTACCAGCGCACGAATACAACATTCCAACAGAAGCGGACGATTTGCACAGCCCGGAAGGCGATTCCGACGACGTAGAACCCTACGGATTTCCTAGTAATAGAAATAGAAGAAAAAACTGTGATGATGATATTGCATCTGTAATTACCACTTTAGGTAAGCCAGGTTTATATCATGAAATATAAAGGGAAAAGAAAGCACGAGTAACTCAACTAAAGAAATTACAAGATTTTTAGTCAACTTTCGGTCAACTTTTTGATCAATTTTCTTGATCCATTTTTGGATAGTTTTTTGGTCGACTTTCTGTCAAATTTTTCAGCCAATTTTTGATCGATTTTTAGTCAATTTTTGATCAATTTCTAGTCGATTTTTGGCCAAATTTCTAGCCAAATTTTTAATCCAATTTGGGTCAATTTTTGATCAACTTTTAGTCGATTTTCAATCAAACTTTATCCAAAATTTAACCCTTGCCTGGCTGAAAATATACTGTAAATGCATTTTGCTTCAGAAGAAAGACATTCCTTGCTGGGCGGCTACGCGAGCAGCGATCTCTCGGCGAATCTCTGCGAAATCGAAGACTCCGAATGCGAATCGGAACACAAGCCGTTGAACAACAGCTATTTGGGCAGCGTGCAACAAACTTCGGTCTGACGAAAACCCAACACGGGTACGATCCGATTGACCCGTTTTATTGGATAGTATCGACACAAGATGATCGACGCCGCGGCGCCGCCGCCGTCGCCGCCGAAGCCGCCGCCGCCGCCGATCCACGACGTTCATTTGTAAAGTTCTTCGTTATTAATTCGAAACGTGATTTATTTTTCCTCTTCGTGGGAGACGATTTAGGTTAGTAACATTTTAGCGCACTAATTTTTAACTAACCACAAACAGTTCGGGAATTGATGATTCTAATAGAGATGTAAAAGTATCGTATAGCCTGCATATCAAAAATTTACAGTTAATAGAGGAGTTTAAAAATGATTTGTTTTTGGTAGCCTCTATTTATTTAAATATAATTCGTGATAGACTGTGTAGGTAGCGTTTCGGCGAAATTCCTCCTTTAACTGGGAAGCTACTTAGTATTGTGTATATAGATAATTTAAAAAAAATCGAAATCTAAATATTTTTGTAAACGTTAGAAAGAACAGATTACAGGGTATATTTAACACCCGCTAGAAAAATTAATCATGTTAAACGGTGTTAAATATATTTAAATTATTAATCGATCGAGTATTTTGAATTTGGGCCACAGAATCGTATCGTTTCGTTGAATGTGCATCTCACAACAATTAGATAGTTAATGTTAAGAAATAATTATTAATAAATCGATCGATATATTGACGTGTTAATAGTAAATCTACACTGAAAAAAAGCACAATTTTAATAAAAAAATAATAACTTATTAATAAACTCTCGCTACAGAACTGATTTTTTGAATAATAGGATGATGAATTTTGTACTTTATTTGTAAGAGTGGAATTTTAGATTTATATATCTAAAAAAATGCGCGAATACTCCACGACTTGGCGTATCCGCGTTTTAATTAATTATATGTTAAAAATTTCGGACAAAACTTTTTCTATGCGATTTCGAATTCCTGTAATTAAGTTTTTCTATATTGAGTTGTTGCATTGTAATGTGCCTAATGATAAAAAAATTAAAATGACGGCAGCTCAATTGACTCATCAAACTATTTAAATTATACGTATTTTTTAAAGACTTTTTTTGTTATGTGCACGTAAATCTGAAAATAATTTCGATGTTTTTCCAGTTTTTTTACATGAAAAGTTCGAAAAAAGTTTTCCCCTTTTTTCGAACAAGGTGTTTAACAATTCCATTAGAATTAGGATTTTTATTTCATTAGGATCTCAAACAATTCCATTAGGAAAGTATGGCAGGATTACGCAGGATTTCTTCCAACCTTCAGTGCGATATTTTAGTCTTTTACGACATTTTAATTATTCAGATTTGCGTGTAATTTTAATTAAATACTCTTAATTTAGTCACTTTTTTTATTTTTAAGAAAAGTGTCATTTTTTGTTAATACCATTATACATAAAAAAATGTAATTTTTAAATTAAAATGTTCGAAATGAAGCCTACTTTTATAGTTTGTCTTAAACGTGTAATTAAAAAAAATTGTAAGTGGTTAAAAAAATGTATGTATTTAATTTCACGATGCCAGCGCCATCTATTACACAATAGCCAAAGCTACTCATAGTCGGTTACAGAAACCTGTAATTAAAAATAGACACTTGGGCTACTGTTCAATAGATGTCGCTGTCGTCGAATTAATAAATAATATAAAAACTAATATTTATCTGCAATTTTTCTTAAACAACAAAATGATGGGAGATTAAAAATAATTTATTTATATAAATAATCTACAAATGAACGAATTTATTACACTACACGGTGAAATACGCTGGTTATTATTGGTCGTAACACCGACAATTACAACAAAATTTTCGTTTCAACAGAACAACATGTTAGCGTTAATTTGAAATTTTCCACTTAAATATGTATTACAGTATAAATAGGTGGTTAACAATTTACAAAAATTTTTTCGTACAGAATAAAGCCCCGTGAACGGATGTTAAGTAAACAATTTAGAAAAATATAAGACGTGAAATGAATGGCGAGAGATTAATTAATGTTGGATTGGAATCATTTTTTCTCCCGCCGTGATCGCGGGCAGCGGGGCTTCCACGGTGAGGACGCCGTCTTTGCTCAACGAGCTTTTTATCATTTCGGGATTGGTACCTTTAGGCAGCAGGAATTCCCTGTTGTACTCCCTGTACACGGATTTCGATTCGGTCTTTTCCTCGTGCTTAGCATGGACCTACAAAGAAACAAAAATATACCAATTAACACCTCCAATTAATTCTTAAAGAAACTAAAAACTAAATTAAAGAAGTACACACTTATTCCTTTCATTTCATTAGACATAGTCTTAGATTTTTACTATGTTATGTGCCTTAAGTCATACAAGTCGGTGAAAAATTGTACAAGAAAAGAATTAAAACCCATAAGTATTGGCACCGGATCAATTCTGAACAAGACACCTACTCATCCACTTAATAATGAATATTCCCCGTACCTAAACGCACCAGGAAAGCTGTAATTTCAAATCAGACTGATGGAATTTAAACGAGCGTCTCGCCGGGCCAGGAACGCCAACGAATATAGATCGACTCGAAGAAACGATACATGCATTTAGCCCGATGCACGTCGAGCTAAATTAGCTTAGTACTCTGCCTTTGGAACGCCACAATCTTATTTTAGGCGCCCGCGACACGTCGACCGAGACGAAAGTCATTTTACAAGAATAATCTACAATCCACACCGACTGGACGCTACCAGTTTTAATAACGCACTCGTTTGGCAGTGAAATAATACAATAACGGGCAAGTGCCAAGTACTTTTGACTTTCAAACTCGTACGAAAAAATAGTTATTATTGCGTGAAATCAGTAACACATGTTGAGAGATTCCTAAATATTACCAATAGAAAATAACATCTGACTGGTACGGGAGATGTTTCCAAAGTTCTGGGAATTGTGCTCTGATTGTGCTCTGAACACCTGAATCAAACTGAATAATGTTGCACTGGATAGTTGCATAATCATGTCAAGACTTCTCCTTCACCATTAACATTGCCTATCAGTTCAGAACAATTTCTAGAACTTTCGAAACATTCCTCGTATAATGCACCACGAAGAACACCCTACAAATTTTGATCGGTTTCTGGTCAATGTTAAGTCGATTTTTGGACAATTTTTAATCAATTTGTAGTCGACTTTGTGTAAAATTTTTTGCTAACTTTCGGTCAAATTTTTAGTCAATTTTTGATCGATTTTTAGTCGATCTTCGCTCAAACTTTTAGTCAATTGTGGAACAACTTTTAGTCGAACAAACATTCCTCGTATAATGCACCACTAAGAACACCCTAGCAATCAACTAAATATTCGATAAAATCCTGTCTTATTGGCAGGTAATGAGGTCTTACCAAGAGTTTGTTGTCGACGGTTTTGACTACGATTTCTTCGGGCGCGTATTGGCTAACGTCGAATCTCAATTTGAGGCACTTGTTGTCGCCCACGTCCTGGATGAGGGGCGAATTCAGATCATCGTACCACGTCCTGACGTCGTTCGACGGGGCTACTACTCTGTGGGCCAAGTCGGATCCGCCGGTGGAATGCTGAGTTGTTGAACTGGAAGTGTTCAATTCACACGTTAAATTCGCGCTTATAGGGATATGACGATGTTGTATGATGATTAGTGAGGTTTCAGCGATATTTACAGTGGTGGTGTTTAGTTAAAACTGAAATTGGGGATATGCATGCTAGATAATTCGAAGTTGGTACTATAAAGTAAGCTACTTTATTTAGTAGAAGAAATTGTAAATTTAGAAGACGATAATAGACTATCAAATTTATCAAATACCATCAAAATTAATAACATATTTTTGTAGAAAACTGTAATAACTTTTAACAAATTTGTAGCACTATAATAGCACTCATATTGATGCAATTCTCAGCAAATTGCTATTATTAACTTCGATCGCCTTGTAGGAAAAATACGAACACGAAAACAATGATAATGCCAGGTAAACAGAAACAATGTAAAAACATCTTGTTTGACCGATTTCAAAAAGTCATTAAACGAACATACCAACCTTGTTTTCGAAGAAGACTTATTGCCTCCAGTAACAGTTTCAGATTCGTACGACATGCAAAGATTAAAAGCATTTGGTTAGATTTGTTATGTTATAAAGCTATTCAATATAGAGCTAATTTTATCTAAAACAAATTTTTATTATAGTATAATAGCTAAGCCAGCTTCGGGGTATTCCACGCAGTATCTCATCAACCAATTTTAGTTAAAAGTAGATACACAATCTTTTCGCTTTTGAAGCGAAATACAATATTCAATCAATGCAGCTACTGCGTAATTTACCCGCTTGTAAAGGTTATTTTAACGTTCGCACACGTTCACTGAATAATATCGTTATTATAATTAGCATTTCGCATCAAACGGTAAATAGAATATTTCCGCGAGTGCGAACGTCAATTTTTAATGTACACATTATTTTTAGTTCCATCTCGTTTAGATCAATCTCGAAGTTTCATTTTAACGCCATCAATTCCGATTCCAATACGCTGTTAAAGGATTCTTTGATTTGACTGCAGTAGATACTACGAATTCACACACAAATAATTAAAATAAAGGGAATTAAAGAGGTTTATTTGTGTAATAATACAGCGTAACTTTGCAAAAAAGGATATTTTATTTTAGGTAGAAGTAGAATATACCATAAGGTACAGCGAAAAATTTGAACAGACTGTTATTTGATTACTAAAGGGCGTTTCCAATTAACTGGAACGAGCAAGGGGTCGAAAAACTGAGTCATTCGGTAATAAAACTAGGATAGGGGTTTGTTTGCACAAGGTCGTCTTAATAATCCAAATGCGCATAAACCGAGGGATTAACAAGGTTATTTTTCAGATCGATAACACTTATACACGTCTCTGTGCTTTCACATTCACAAATGCATAGCAGCTACATACATTTAAATAAGAAATATTTAGAAGAAAATAATCGATTAATTTAACGTAAAATGTGTACAAATCTAGTCAAGATAATGAAGTAAATTAAGCGTTTAATCTCTTTTTTCAAATTTTGTATTGTACACAAATCAATAAGTATTGAAATATATATTAGGAATTGAAAAAGTGCAATAAAACGATTGTTTTATTGCATTTTGCACTTTATTCCCATTGTCTCCTAATTAGGCATTTAGTTTAGATTTTGCGGGGACATTTGTTTTTCTGGTTGATTAGCAATAAATTAAAACTGCGTGGGTGCAGAAGTTTTTTTACGCGTTGTGTAGGAAACTATAATTGCGTCATCGTTAAACATAAACGGTCAAAAAAAAATGAAAAAATAAAACATTGAACTAAATACATGAATAGAATTCATATTAGGAAGGTTAGTTAATAGTGGAATGAATTATATTAGTTTATTGCTCGAATAAATAGCGACATTTGTATATGTTGATTGGATTTAAAGTAGCGTAAATAAACAAAGAAAAATTATAATTATAATTTGAAGATAGCAATCATAAGTAATTTTTCTGAATGAAATTGTAGTTTTCATGTAATTTCTTAAGCGTGTAATTATCCAATAATTTTACACTCCAGCAGAGCCTTTTTCCTGTCTATAAAAACATTTAAAATTATCACTATACACATCTAATTTAACCATAATAAATCGGATAATTATTGAACAATTTTCTTTATTCTTTTAAACACAAAATTTAACGACTCCACCAGAGTTCAAGTTCGGCTAAAAATTCAATCACTAATCATTCAATTAGTTTTCAAGTGTTTTTTTATTGATAACTGTCTACTTTGATGTAACTATTTTCATTAGTAAAACCATCGACGTATCTCTTAATTCGTATTCGATACACCTATTCGCTCCAACGTTAATTATAATTTATGATTTAAGGGTTATGAGTCATTTCATTAGAATGTTCTCCATATCGGGATTCATCAATGAACGGACCAAGGTGTGGTTCACGTTGTACACTAATAAAAATTTAAACTCGCATTTTTGAGACTAAATACATGCTCACTATTTTATCGACAATAAAAACCAGAAAAATTTACGAGACTTTTAGGAACTTATTGTGGGCCAAAAAATGTGGGAGTTTAACTCGTATTTACATAAGAACATTATCGCACTATCCCAACTTAATGGACACCATTAACGCAAGTTTTTCGTACGTTTTGTGTTTATGTAATCCGAATCCTTCGAGCTCATATGTATTTAAAATAGATCGAATGCGAGTTTAAAACATGCAAAAACAATAAAAACTTTAAACGAAAGCCTAACAAAAATAGCCAGTGCGAGTATTGAATTACCTATATGGATTGTATGTGGATTTAATGGATAACTAATAACGAAAAAAATTATTATCGTAACGTTTAAAATAAGCAAGATGTTAGAGCTGGAATTCTTTTATCACGAACGGCGTTATTTTTAGATTTCGAAAAGCATTTGGCAAACAAAGAAAAAATATTCGCCGACCGTTTGTTTTCGTCTGGGTTTATTATTAATATGTAGGTATATTAGTAATAATTATTAGTTTAATATCATCTACATCTAATATAGAATATTTACTAAAGAGCAGATCACATTTATCTCGAAATTATTTGAAGTAGGTCTACCTTTTAAATTTAAATTTGCCTTGCACAGAGACTCTTTTATAATTATGAAATGCGATGTGTCGACTCGGTGATAACCTTTTTTAATGTTTCTTGTTTCGTTTATTAATTAAACAGACTAATTAATGGAGCTAACTGTATCATCTCTTAAAATAGAATGAAATTTGTAATATAAAGAGCATATTATAATGCAAATTGATATAAAAAAGGCTAATATAAAGCAAGGAAAGTATATTCTAATTTCTGATTTAAAAAATATTGTATAGTTTATGTTACCTGCTAATTTACTATACATAATGTAGGCAAATCAAAAAATATATATGACAATAATTCAGTTAAGAAACATGCAGGAATCCAGCATTAAATTGCACGAGAACTATATAAATGTCTACAAAATAAACGTGCACAAAAACACGTGATAAATTAAAGTACAATACCGTGAACGACAGGTATCAGAATAATAGCTCTAACAATGCAAGGAGTGTCTTTGATAAATTACATACTGCATACAGATGAAATACCAACAAATTAGATTTAATTAGATGCAGATTCATCTCGTATAATGACCATAGCAATTTTTTAAATAACCATAAAAGGATCACACGTATGACGATTCACCAAATTGTCATTCAAATTTTTTGTCTACTGTAATAACAAAACAAGTATCTAATTATTCGAAAAACACGGTTACGTAAATAAGATTAGTCAAATCTAAATGCAAACCATTATCCAATCTGGCGTCCACCTAAATAATTTTTACACATTCGAATTCATGATCGAACCATTCATGACTCACCGGCTATTTCCGTCCCTGCAAACGCTACACTTGCAATTTCAATCATTGCGATTAATTCATTCTGGAAAATTCTGCTGTATTTTCCGACAATATTGTTCGTTTGCAAAAGGAAATACGCAAGAATTTCAGCCATTACCTTACTCTAATAAATCTACGGGTACTGTATGTAAAACATAAACGATGATGTCATACTGAAGGAACGAAACTGAAAAATGTTTTAATTGTTTACATTACAAACATCGCGTAGTTTAGCATATTTCAAGGTAAAAATGTTTACCTAGCCGAGATTTAATTATCGACAAGTCGAGATTTTCAGCGTTTTGTTCAATTAAATTGGCTACTTGGAAGAAATTTAAATAATGTAATAACAATTACTTGGTGATAAATAATATCTATCGAAATATCGAATAATTTTGAACACTGAAAATAATATTTGCTATTCAAGGAGTAAACAATCATTCGAGAGTCGATTTTAAAATAGAATACTTAGCTAGCATTTGGAATGCACCCAAAAGCCAATCACAGTAATAACAAAACAAGAATTTAAATTGTAAGCTGCCCGTATCCGGTGGGAGGTATTGGAGACTTCCATACGGCCGGTCAATATAATAAAATTGATACTTTTTTTGTTTTTTTTTATAATCTATTCATAGTTTCGAGGTCGACTGACAATACAAATGCTCGAAGGCCTAACCATTAACGTTTCTGATCAGAGTGTTTGAGCGCAAATATTTGCCGGGCATTAATTTTTTATACCTAAATAATTGTAAGGCAAACAATTAATCTTTCGTGAAATCAAAGATGAACCAATAGAGTAATCAGCTACAAATGTTTTGTTGGAAAAATAAATATTTCATATGTACAAAAGTATCTAAAATACATCTGTAATTAAATTACAGCAGTACAGCAACGAATCAACTACAAGGTTAAATTAAGTGATATTTTTTTTTTATATTTTATGTACATGTGGGTATCAATAGGTTATACACCTATTGAAATATGTTGCGCGGACCTGACGATAATGATGAAAACCGCACTGTTTCATTGAAATTATCTAGATAAATTAGCCATACGAATTATTGAATATATGCAAACATGAAATCATTAGCAATTGTAATGTAATAATGTCAAATTCAAATGAACATCATTATGAAACAGGTAACTAAAATATTATAAGTAGAACTTTGAGTTGTAGAAATTTAGTGGAATATTTAGGATAAATTGTTGAATAGATCTATTAATTAGCCTAAATACTCCACCAAAGTTAAAAAAAAATTAACAATACTTTCTTTAGTGGTTATAAACCAATTTCGTGAGATAAAAATGAATCTAATTTGAGATTATATTAAATTGGAAAATTAATTTGGAATAATTTCCAGAATCCAGTCAATGGGCTGGTGTTGAAATAAGTAATATAAATAAACAACTTTGTTTTCAATATGACACCTTGATCCCATTCTTTTTATAAATCTGTAAAAATAGTTATTTATGACACCTATGCTGTCAGCGAAAATGACGAAAATATCCCGTAAGAGTCGTTCGAAAGGGGCGTTGATGTGGAAATTGTTTGTAAAGTAACCCAATCAATAAAACTTCGAGAAAATCTAGAGAAGCCGGCCGAAATTAGTCGCTACAATTTAGGCAATCGATATCAACATATAAAAAACAATATCTACCTCGTCGTACTCCTGAAGAAATTATTCGATTCCCTATTCATCAATTCCGATCTGAATTTGCTCATTTCCTCTTCCATTTTCCTCATTTCGGCGTCGAATCGCTCCCTGATGCTGCTGAATTCCGTGTCGATGACACTGAAATCTCCCATTTTGATGGGAATGTCGCGTTTGTTGGCTTCGGACATTGTGAAATATTCCAACTAATACACTGTTTAACTAAAAAACACGAAGCACTCGAATTACGAATGAAACTGGCCAGACGGGTTTCGAACGAATACTGAGCTGATAGGATAGGATAGGTCTGATACAAGCACGGCACTGTACGCGAGTATGGTATAGTATATCGCGCAGCACCGGGGATAGACGGTTTTTAAATAGAAACGTTTCGAGGGGGAATTCGATGCACACACACACACGGAGGCTTGCGCAATTGTCTTTACACCTCTGCTACGCTACGCTACGCTCGTCTTGCGTTGGCGTCCAAGGGTCCGAGACGACGAGGTGGACTGGAGATATGCATGGAATCGTACCGTCTCTGATTTCTTCTAGAATTGTCTTGTAACCAAAATTTGTAACACGTTCATTGTTTTGATCATGTTATAGGTCACCCAAAGAAGTTTACTTTAGTCTAGTATACACACCTGCGATTTTGGGTGTGGAAATGTCGTGAATACAATCTCTAATTGTTCTTTTAAAGTTTTTCGTTTAACGTTCATTGTTTTCCTCATTAAGGTCACCTAAAGAACTCTAGTCTAGTCTAGTATGCCCTAGGATTCGTGCTAAAGATATGGAATGGTACAATCTCTGATTGCTTCTTCTAGAGTTGTCCTGCAACTCATATCAATATTTAGGTAGTACGTCCTTTGTTTTAGGTGCTATAGGTCATCTAAAGAAATCTAGTCTAGTGTACTTTGGTCTAGTAAAATAATTAAGCGATTAGCATTTGGTCTTGAATTGGCATGAAATTGTAGATCACTGATTGCTTCTGCTAGACTTCTAGACTTCTTTTCTCTGCTTTTTACATCTTGTAATCCAATGTTGATATTGCTAACATAAGACTTTGTTTTATTATGGGGTCACCTAAGATGTTGCTCTAAGAAGTATGAGCTTGGTGGAATCTTTGGTCCAGTAAATTAAAGGGAAAATCATTGGTACTTCAAGTACTTTTAGCATATGGAATTTTGTTTACTTACAATACCTATTCTCTCTACTCTAACCTCCATAAACTCCAGACAATTGCTTTAAACGCAAGAGTATATTCTAATGTGAACAATCTGTAACCTGATGAAACTATATCCTACAGCTCTAGATTATAATCTATACCTGGATCAAAACTCATATATCTCCCTTCTATTATTCCAATGGTGGTCTTACCTATTTAGCTACAAAAGCAAGAAATTCCTATAGTCCTATTTCACGAACAATCGTATTTTTATTTGACATAAAAAACCGCATTCATTGTATAAGTGGCTGAATAAGCCACATCTAGACTATTTTATAATACAGCACCGGTGTGGTAAATAAATATAATAGGGATTATTGGCTTCTTGCACTTTGGTTCTCTATACAATTGGATTATTTGTGTTCAATGGGGCGGTATTGTGTACGACCTACCCTAAATAAACTAATCGAAATCGAAGGGAATGGTATTAAATTTGTTCATTTTCTATACGGAAATCCGTTGTTTGGATGTGACATGGGATAATCGAGTTGGAATATTCTAGAGGTATCCTTCAATTAGACCGTAAATAGCCATGTCTAAATATACAATTTTGAATAGTACGTTACACTCGCCGTATCGTTATTCTGTGCATATTAAGAGCCATTGTGGGCGAACGGAATTTACAATGAATTTTCTAAAATTAGTCATGTCTCATGTCTCAATGGAAATGTGCTCGATTCATAAACATGGTTCCCGCAAATGTACAAAATCTTTGAATACGTTTTACTTAAAAATTGGGGTAATAAAAAATTACTCAAAAATACAGTAATTATGTAAACTTTTTACTTCAAAATACAGAGTAAATTATCAAAATGTGCCAATTGGGCCACACGTGCTTAAATGAAATGTCTGTACAGGAAACGATAAATTTGTGTAAATAAATAGAACTAATATAAAGCTTCTTGTAGTACAAAAGTATGAAAAACACAAAAAGTATTTTGCATTCCCCGGTTCGAAAATAAACTTCTATATTTAGACAGATATCAACCGTAAATAGAAGAGAATAGATAGATAGAACAATCGAGAATGTATGCGTAATCGAGTTCTAGTTGTCCGAGTCGACGATGCGAATTCCTAGTTGGAAGTTCTTCGAAATTCAAGGAGTTTCCACTTCCCACACACTAGAAAACGAATTACGAATAACACTCGTCATTATAGTTGTGTCGGAGAAAAACAAAGTAGGTGTATTTCTATTAGATACTATTTCGAGGTTTTGGACAACACGCCTTGGGCGAAATAAACATTCTTAGAAAACGATAAAATTCGAATCGATTCAGAGAGGATCTCGAGCTTTCTCGATACTTCCTTACGTAAACAAAAACTGTTGAAAAGTGGGTGAACTTGGAGTGACGCAGCTGTCCATGTCCATATACAACGTATCTTACATGCCTCTACCTACTCGTTTTTTTTAATAAGGCGAGCGTATATTTTACAAAAGCTACCATTTATGGCAATGCGACATTGCGATCGAAAATCGACCGGTGAATTTCAAACGGCGCAAAACGAAAATAAAAATATTAACGAGCACCGGTGAAAGTTTTCAAGAATCTTCAGGAGACGATATATGAATTACCTATTTTTCGTTAATAAAAAATTGCAAATTGCAAAACTGTAGAGAAAAACGTTCCAGGTTCTAATAAAAGTTATTCGAAAGTAGATATACATATTTTTATATATTTATTTAGTTATTTCCAATAATCAGGAAATCTAAATTGAACGTAGGTGGAAATTTACAAATACGATCCTGTACAGAATCAAAAATATTTTGTTTCTTATCCTGGACAAAAAATGGCCTCTTTTAGCGCGATGAACTCATGATAGAATTCTTCAAAATTTTCCTTTTTAGACAGCATCCTGTAAAATACAAGCTCTCCTTCGAGATATTTCTAAAGAAATTTATTCTCTTTTCGCTCTTCGTCAACAGATAAAAGTCCACAAATTAAAAGGAAACATTTTAAGCTTACTATATCTTACAACAGTCTGTGCATAGATGTCGCCACTAATCAATTGAGTGGATTAGGGTAAACCCGGAATATCATAGAACCTCATTAAATAAAATGATAATTTATTATTATTAGTAGGTACCATCGATAAATACGAGTATGTAATTATGTTTATTAAAATTAATACACAAATTCCATTATTTTTTAATACCTAGTGTACATCTCGATTACCTGCTTCACTAAAACACCATGATAGAACAAAACTAAGTAAAGAGCCCTTCATCATATTTTGTAACAAATATTTCCTTCCAAATAATTATAATCATATAGAATTTAAATATGTAAGAACGGTCCTGGTAAAGTATTCACGTTCTGATTGCAAGAAATGTCATCCATGTAGCATTGTCAGCGAGCTGATGCCGAGAAGACACACCGATGGATTTCTTTCTTTACGTTTTTATTTTTTGTTAAAAAGCGAGACTGCGATGAGTAGACGTCGGCAATTAGTTCCGCCGCGAAAATGTTTATTCTTCATCGACTAGTAGAGCATATCGAGCACGTATATGAAATGCGAGCGCGTTCGCTTTAAAATTATAGACGGGTGGTTTACGGATCGAATGGAACGTAAAAAATAAATCAATGAATTTGTTAACAGTGCATTCAACAGCCATTGTATGTGTGAAGCTTCATTGGAAAGTGTTTGAGAAATAAGTCATTTGCAAAAATCGTGAAAGTAATAAATAAAAATAGCCTATTCACCTTGATGACAATGTTAATGCGTGGGCTCTTCAATCGAACATTATTATAACAATTGCAAATAGAAACGTTCATTGCTTTTTTACAATACATTTCTGATAGGTCACCGTAACAGGACCAACAAAGGATGCTGTGGTGAATATCATCATGGTACAATTCGATTGAAATTGCTGAAGAAATAAAGGGCACATACGCTCTAACGAATTCAAATAAAATAAAATGCAATTAACGAAATTATTATAATTAGAATTTACATGCGAAAATTGTGGGATCCTAGTTGGTTGTCCTTGCTACAACATTCACCCTCATCAGTCATTCTTTGTTCTCGGCCGCGGTCACGAAATCGATGTACTAGTTATTTCGAACTATCCATTTGAAAAATTCGAATTCCGCAGAAGGAATTGCAAAATTTGCAAAAAAATCAATTTCTAAATAATTGATTGATTGCACTTCGCTGCGATGAATTATCGTTACGCAATTTAGGCGATTAGGATGAGCAAATAAAAACGAATACAGATATATTTCTATTTTTTTATGGTACACTACTATTTTTTACTAGATACCCACTAACTTTACTAATAGAGAACACGCGCACATTTATTTTGAACGCACAATAAATCCCCGACGCAAGCTGCGTTTGACGGAGAACAGTCTTCTCCTTCATCTACACAAAAAAATATTATTAGAGAAAAATTTACACTAATATAGTTCATTCATTGAACTTGTTTTCGATCAAGAATGTAAAGTAAATTGCCAGATTATGCTTGTACTTACTTCTAGGGGAATAGCAGCTTTCGCAACAATCGCAGGGGTGTCTCTTCTTCAACACACTACCTGTACTACATCCCGGGATGGCACATTTGTATGGATCACAAGGTGGATTCTTCGGCGGGCAAGCTAAGATAGCGGAGCACGTGCAAATGCAAAGCACTAGCATAAGGCTCAAAAGCACCAATTTCATTTCGTTTGATTTGTTCTTGTTATGTCGACACAATGAATATATAATTTTAATGATTTTTAGTGGAATGTTAATGATAATTATATTGATGATTGTTAATTGGTATGTTAATGATCTTTATACTATATAGTCGAAGTGCGAGGACTTTAGATTGACTTTTGACATGTTTTGGAGATATGGACATTAAACGATAACATTCTTTTCACGTTGTTCCCAATATGTTACAGATTACATGGTAATACTTAAAATATTTCGTTGCATCTCAATACGAAAAATGCGGGTGCATTAAACTTTTGAAATCGAAAGAGAGTTTTTTTTAACCAAGAGAATTCACAGAATAAATTACGCAATTTATATAAAGACTTTTTTCCAGGTATTAATTAAAAATTTCCTCTCATCGAATGCCAAGCATCGACGTTGTGGTGCTTTCTCTATACCGAATTTGCATACAAGAAATAAGCGGCTCAGATATAAGTACAAAATCCCCTTAACACATGCAACATCTCATTCGCACGATTCCAATAAACAATGCCAGTAAAAAATAAATAATACACATTATTTACGGCTTTAATCATTCGGTTTAATTTTTTCTTTTATTTCTCACAAAGAAAGCTATTATTTAACAGTCGGCTGGAAGTTGAATGGAATTATTCAAATATTAGATTAGCGGGTGTATTTCCTGCAATTAGAGTATCTATCAGAAGGCTTTTTATTACACGGCTATGTTTGATTTTAAATGATTGCCTCGTTATATAAATAATTATCAAAGATCTTAATTGTTGATTGACAAGGTTGCCAGTTTGAAATTATCTTTAATTTTATCACTATTTTGGATGGTTCTTTAATAGTCTATAAGCATTTTCTATAAGCTTTCCAGCGATTTTTTTCTATTTCCACGAGTTTTCATCGTAACGCATTATTAAAATGTCTCTAAATCTATTAATTCGAAAGATTCAAAATTAATCAACTTCTATAAGAAAAGTGCACCTTTAACTGAACAATATACAAGACAATCCCAAAAAAAATCACCCCCATAGATAGCAGATAAAACTAGAAAACCATAATCAATCGAAGGACCGCGAAATAAAAATCGCGGAACTCGAAAGCATCGTTAAGACGAGACCGAGAGTACCGCAAAAAAATTTCTAATAACTCTTCGGACGACGTAATCCTATGATTGTACTAACTTACTTCTTAGTACGTATCCGCGTGTGTGCTGGTATTGTGAAAGGTCGTCCGATGTGGTTGGTAAAGTGAAGAAATGAAGCAGCGTGGAAAAAGGGGGAGTAGAAGAATTGTTTGGGTTCATCTCGCGATGTTCTAATGATGCGCTTTGCTGGATTTAGTCTTGTGGTGTATTGCTCTTGTGGTGCTTCCTAGTTTTCGTGAATCGTCTATTCCAAAGTACACTTTGAATTCGTTTTTTGGATTGACTATTTTGATACTAGTGAGTAGATTCATTGCTTTGTAAAATTGAATGGATTTGGGATGAGGTATACAAGCTTTAACTCAACATTCCTCCCTGCTAAATGTGCGATGTTCAATTTTCCCTGATCCTTGTTAAAATAAAGATCTTCATGCAACTTTTGTACCAATTTATTCACAATGAAGGTACACTCAAAATTCAAAATATTGAAGAGTACCTAATTTTTCAAATTCACAATTTTCGATTTTCTAAACTTATTAGGCGCACTAAAACTTGAAAGTATTTTACATAACTATCGCCGAAAAATTTGATTAATATATTTTTAATATGTATCTATACTTTATATTTAAAACAATGTAACAGAAAGGAAAGTCTTTCTAAATTATATACCTACGAAAGTTTACCATGTTGTTTTAACAGTATCATACTGTGTTCGTGATTCTAATAGAATATTATTTATTGTGAAACATTTATCAATTGACGTTTTGAAATTCGTATAGCTATTTTATTTCTGCTGCGATAGCACTAAATAAATTCACGATGCTTTTAATTGTAGTTCAAATGACTATTCTCTTAGCATAGCTTATAAATTACAAGTATCTAATTGCTACCATTAATTACACTTAAGTCACAAAAGTAAATCATCTAAGTATAGAGATCCGCAACCACTACACCCGATTTTGATAGAGATTAAGATAAGTGGTTTTCAATCGTATCATCATGTAATTCGTTATTAGGTATACAGTTAATAGTGTTTAATTATCCCATAAAGCTATTAAATTATGTACGCACTTTAATATTAATTCTCCTATAGTTACTCGAATGTATAAATATTATTCAGTTGTAACTATAAAGTTTTTTGTAGTATGTAATAATCTCTTCATGTTACTGTTAAATAAATTGTCAGTACCTACCTAACTAACATTAGACGGTAATTAACATTAAAATTGGTATAGATATTGGGATGTTCTGATAATAAGATTTAATAAGTTTCAAAACACCAATCAATTATTTTATAAATTGCGTAATTGCAATTATAAATTAAGTAGTTTTAAAAACACGGCAGTTGAAGCCGGTTATTAAAAATTTTGGAGTAATCGCAATTTTCAATACCTCTAAATAGGTCAAATGTTATATAAAAATGTATAACCTGGCTTTCTAATTATCTACTAATAAATCAATTAAGTATTAGTTTATTGGAAATAAATCATTTTTTTACAATATATATTTTACTTGACGATATTAATTACCGATTTTTTACCGTACCTACCATCATCTAGGCCTTAACTGGTAAAAATGTGAAAATTATTTATAGTAGGTACTATTGGACATTATGATAAACGATAATTTAACATTTTACGTAACTTTTATTAATTGGCATAGCAATTTAATTAAAAATTAGATATAACGATTCCCTATCTCTTATAGGCCATTGTTCGACCACTAAATTGCTAATTTACCGTACGACTCTGATGAATTTATCGTCTCAGACGAAAATTAAAAAATTAAAATTACCGATTATTACATTTTGAGAACATTTCTCACTGATTGTTCGCCGTTTATAATATTTATACATGTCAAGGCGTTTACATTATTTCATCTAATGTTTCACATTCGAATCACCTTAACATTTCTGCCATTTTACTTGCGCCTCATTTAACAAAAATCGACAATTTTTTAAACGACAACCGCTCATAATTTTTCCAATTGAACTGCACAATCTATTACCATTTTACCGCAACCATTGGCGTATATCGTTAATTTAATGTAAAATGTTAATGTATATTTTATATCTATTAAACTAAACTACATTTAATTAAAGTTAGCTTAATGTTCAATATTACATTTTTAATTTTCTATGAATATTCGTATTGGAACCGTCACTTAAACTGCAAAGTAGGCGCTTGATCCCGCTTCTGATATTTTAATGTACATACAAAATGGAGTTTTAAATCGATTTGAATGCATATACACATTATTTTATATGCTTGTTAATGGATTAAAATTGAAATAAAATTTATATACAGACGGATACTCCACTGGTGCAGCTTTAAAGATGCCCCGGAGCTTATGGATGACTGTGATTAAGGTAGAAACAGTATATCCGTGCAAAGGTGAACTGGCTGGCAGCAATGAAATTAAAGAAATTATTGAACAAATAGTTAAAACATATAGTCATGAGCGATTGCTAATCAGCCGAATATGAACTATTGTAGGAAATGAAAGTAACTCGGGAGTTTAGACCGGTGATTTTAGTGAAATCCTTTCGCTTTTTCGCCAAATTCGAAAACGGTTTTCGCGATTAATGTGAAATTAATGGTTATTAAATTATTATTAAAATACTCTGTCTAATATACCTAATAAAAGTTAGTCGTAAAAATGTAAATCGAATATGATGATCAAAAATAATAAACCATGAAATATTTAAACGACTGCATTAGTGAGGCAAACATTTTATGCAAAAAATGAAACCTACAATATACTTACGCCTTGTTGTTACGGGGAATTTCTCTTCCGTACGTTTTAAGGAATCTCAAATTAATTCGCAGAGTACTTAACTGTAAGTAAGTAACAATATCCATATAGATAGACGAATCGAAGTATCGGTCTCTTGACTTTAAAGCGGCGACGGATCATTCGAAAATGGAAAGTGACTTTTAACCTATAAAAACGCGAGGAAGAAGAGTGCCGAGAATTCGCTTCCTTAATGAAACAATTCGATTTTTCCGAATTAAACCGATTGCGAGTTCAATTGCGAGGCATTTTTAATCGGCGCGGTATTTTTCGATTCGTATCGTATAATTCCTGCGCCTCGGGCGGTTGCTCGGTCTAACCGTTAATAAATAATGTCGAATATTACGACACGTAGATTTTGCATGGGAACCGAAAATATTACTCTTCATTACTCTATTAGAACTCGAGATCAAACATTCCATCGGCGTTGTATATGCCTATGCAAAAAGGGAAAGCGCGACGTTGAACATCTTAATTTATAACTCTCGAGATAAGAAGGTTCCAGCTCATGTTTAATAATTTTTTAATTGAGTGATGATAGCGAAAAATTTCACTGTAATTGTGGGCAATGCGCCTTCGCTGACAATGGTTTCCTTATTCGAATTCATTCACGGGCATTATACGCTCGATTGAACAACGTACGAACACTCTGTCAATATAAAAGTTAAATATAAGAGTTTAGATTATAAATCATAATTTAACGGAATGACTCAAAATATTATTGAATTAAATATGTTCTCGTGTCGTTTGTGTGCGTGTAAGTACGCTTTCTACTTCTTATCGAACACTCATTATAATACCTAAAACAAGACGGTAGAATTCGATATCAATAAATCGAGGAAATCACGATTCTACACATTTTTCCCGTTTGTGCGCTGAAACAGTTGTAAATCTCCGATCGATTTGGAGAATTGTCGTGATGACTGCTACGACATGAAATTAATCCCGAGTAAATTGTTACTTTCCTCTCGTACCTTTTCACCGGGAAACTTTTCCGAATCCAACTCGTTATCACAGCGCGTAAAAATTTACATGGATATTCTCATTGTATACGAGCACTTAAAACTAACCTTCACGCGCTACCAGCGCATAAAATATCTTCTCATGTCGATGAACAATTCAAAACAAACAAAATGCAGGGATTGTTTTAATTTGAGCGATGGCATTTCACGAGAGAGATGTTCAATTGATTTTTAAAAAGTGTCGAAGAGGAGAAGCTTAATTTGATTCAAAACCGCGTTTATATTTTTTTTCTTTATATTGTGTATGTTATTTTAATCTTCTGTTTCTAAAATTGTAGGGTTTATTCATGTAGCTCATCAACCATAAGAAATTTATTAGATTATTAACTTATTAGATAGTTATTTACCTATCTTGTAATAAAAAATATTAATGGACTTGTAAATAGAAGTACCTGAAACCACATCTGTTCAAATATAATACGTTTTTTTTAATTCACGCCTAGTGCCATTCATATGCAGTCATAATAGTAAAACTCGTACATTTAAACATCATTGTTTGGTTGAGAAAAATCTTGCGAACGTGAAAGTAGTAAAAGTAACATTTGCAAGCATTGTTTGGTACTGGAGATGCGTCGAAAGCGACTTTTTTAATAAATAAAATCGCAAATATATTGAAATTTTGACCGTAAAACAATCGTAAAAAAATGATAGTTGGAGTGTACGATTTAATGGCGGCGGAATTTACACACGCTTGAGTTTGTGGAATACTTTAATAAATCGTTTGGGGCATGTATATTTGCGATTTTTTCGAAAATAATATTGAGTCGTCCGGTATAAGGCGACTGCCCGGAGTTTTACAAGCTCGACCCACATCAATCCGAACGATTAGCGAATGAAAGTAAAAACGGTTTTATTTTAAACAGGAAACGCCAAACGACTTCGGAGCGTTTAGAGAACTTAAAGGTAACGTTGATATGTCATAGATCGCGTCTTTTAGTATAATTTCATGTGCTATATGTGCGTTTCTGTTACAACACTTATGATGTTTCAGTGAGGGATAATTTTTTCGCTGTAGTTGCGTAATTATTATTTTGTAACGTGTAATTTTAAGTCGCTTTCGATTTTTTGTGAATGATGAGTCTTTATCTGGTCGTTTTATCTGAGCAGGCATTAAGTAAGTAGGTGTCAATTAGGATGCTAGATTGTACGTACATTTGTAGAGTTAGAAGAGAAAAAATTATTAACTGTTAACGATTAATTTTGTGTATTGGTTAATTTCCTACGGTGTATAAAAGTCTGTTTGCAACAGAGAGTTAAATCCGTTGTGCATGTCTGTTTCTGCAAAGATCTCTCGTGCCGATGCGAGCTGAATAAATCCAACAAAACGTATGACTTAATTTCGCTCCGATCTAGATTAAGATACTTTTTCCTGGTTTTTCGCAATGCTCGCAACAAAAATATTTGTACCAGTTGTTAAGTAGCAGACAATGAAATGTATTATTATTGTTTAAAGATTAAGCCGCATTTTATAATAAAAAAAACGGTCCGTTGCTCAAAAACCGCTGATAATCATCGTGAGAATATTTCGATTTGCATTGAAGTTGTCAATTATTCCGACATAATGACGATTTGAAAAAAATAGTGCCAAGAGAAAACATTTTCGCAGACAAGGTGAGCCTGGAATTATGAAATACGCCCGATTAAAGTCTTTATCGGATCGAATTAGTTAATTGAAAAATCGATTTTTTTTGAGAGAAAATGTCGTTACAATAAAAAATATTAATTTCGTTTTTAAACTTTTAAATTCATCAAAATATTGCCACAGACAGATCTTATAAGTTATAATGAAAACCAGCTATTTAACTGTCGCAAAAGTGCATTATATTTTTTTGATAATTTAAAATAGTACCGATAATTAGTTTGGATGGGATTTCGTAACTTTAATTTGCATAAATTAAAATTTTTTAAGTAAATAACCATCAATCCCGCTTGCCTTACTTAAATCATACAAAGCGGTTAAAACGTCGCTCAGAAACCCACATAAAATTGTTAAAAATTAATCAATTATAATGAGATTTTTGTATTGTTTAGCACCGTAATGTCGTAAAATTTATATTCACAACATTTAGTCCGCTCTTATTTTTATTCCTACCAATTTCACTCAGATTCTTTGTACCAATTAAAGTAATAAAAGTTTACTGGTCTAATTAACATAGGAAGTCTAATTTATTTAATATGTATTTACATATGGTCTAAACGAATTGGAAAGTTCACGGGTAATTAATTTGTCAAGTATCTATAATTAGGTATAATTATATTGTTTGGTAACTTTTTTATGTTGTTAGAATCGGATTGAATTAACTAGATTAACATCCCAATAATCCTACGAGGATTCTGTATCTACCACTCGATATCCTTGTAATAATTAACAAGTTATTAATATGAATATACCTAGATTTCAAAATATGATTGAATTTTTAATACAAAGTAAAATAAAATTATTCATTATTTAAACAAGCGCTTATTCCTTTACGATTATGGGCTATTGTATATTATTTTCGTTTTATGAAAAATTGCTAGGAATAAATAATCCTTTGTTCAAAAGGTCAAATTGGTAGTTATTTACGTTATTATCCGAACAAAATTTGCAAGGAAAATAAAAGTTAAGTGGTTAAAATTTAGGTAGCTAATATGAAGATACTGTACAAGCTTTCATCAGTTGATTACCATTATTATTAACAACTTTCTTGTATAATCAGCAAACTATAACCCCGCAGGTGACAGTGAGTGATTCTATGATTGGTTCATTTTTTAAAAAGCGCTTAGTAAAGAGTACATTTCTATTATACACGCAGGTACATCCTTGAATAGATAGAAAAAATACAAAAAAATACAAAAATCCCATCTCATTACAATTATAATTCTCTACCCTGCAATTCCATTGCAATTAATCCACAACAACGTCCGCACTTCGTGTACTCGAAACGGCATTAATTCAAATTCGCTCTTTACTCGACACTGACCTTTTCTTACAAACGGTAATAAAACCGAGCGGATACCTATAGCCCGGTAAAATCAACCGTTTAATTGGCTATTAAAAAAATGTTTTAAATTCAATTTGTATCTCAGAAAATTTTGGAAATTTTATTAGCTAATTTTCTCAATAAATCTCTGAAAATTTGGGAATTATAGATTTGGTGTCAAAAATATTAAGGAATCCATCACAACCCCAAAAATTTATAATTTGATTACCTACATTATTTCGCCGTTTTGTCCAAATTAAAACTAAATCCAACTTAGGGATTTGATAGAAAAATTCCTTTTTTTGCAACATTTGTATGATTCTTCTATGATAGAAACGATCACAACATTAATTTTTTTAATTTTCATATCTAAGATTCCCTGTAAAAAGCGCCAGGATTTTATGATATTGCGCTAAATTTTCCCGGGCTACAAGCGCTAAATCACAACGCGCGACGGATCCTCGCGCACCGGCCGCTCTTCCATCGGCTCCCAAGCCGAAGGAGCGAACGAAAACGGCGCAAAAACGCCGTGTTTCTCCGCCGCTTCGACGTGTGTGTGTCACGAAGTTCACGAATCGGTCAGCGGGATTGTAATTTCTTGTGTGAATCGATTTCCTTGACACAAATTATGCATGGGAAGAATGAATTCGTTGTTGTTGCTCCTTGGTCTCACGATGGACGGATACGCTAAAACGGATCTAGAATAATTACAGGCGAGATAACGGATTGATAGCGGAGTTGTCAGGCGAAACTTTGATAATAAATTATCGGTTTATCCCAAAGAAATTTGTATTAATTGCCGAATAAGTATGCGGATAGGATTAAACAAGGTTGAATGCACAAATTTACCCCTTTTTTTAGAATCTTTGATTTAATTTGGACAATCTGTATAGATAAATACCAGATTTTTTTACCAATATCTTGTTCAATTTCAATCTACATGAGATGATATTTAGTTTTTTGTCGAACTATTCGCACGAAAGTGTATATGTATCTGTAACTAAATATAATAATGCGAGCTTTCTAAAATTGTATATTAACTTCCCCATAATGTTCAAGTGTTTGACCTTTGCTTTGATTGACTTCTCATCCACATCGCGTATCATTATCGCTAAACAGAGAAGCCATTAAGTAAAACTAGTGTTCGAATGCAACGACTAATTTGAGAAATTACAAAGGGATTGCGCAATTTCGTGGGAATTTTAATTATATATACGAAGAGGAGGATAAATTAACAATTAGGCCGATTAGAAAGTGCGATTTTTTGTCTAAATTTTCGGTTTTCGTTGGTTAGGTAAATACAATTTCCTTCTAGGAATTTACTCGGAGATCTTACTCGGATATTTCATTAGATTTTATAAGGAGTAAATTTCGTATTTTATGGTTTTTATATCAAATTTTTTGAGCAGATAATAATGGCTCATCTTGTTATGGATAAGTGTTCACATAAATATTCATCTTGGTATAAACGAGCTGTTACGGTAGCCACGTAATTCGCTCTAATCTGGTTCACATGGCGTACGGAACTAGGTCGGCTCGGTTTATTGTTTCAAAATAATTCTCAGTAGATTCGAAAATTCTTTCATTTCATTTTGCAAACAAACGAGCCGTAATTAAATATGCAAATGATGAAGTGAAACCGGCCGTGATTATACGCTTCAATTGTAGATAGACGAAAACGAAATGAATAAGAGAAAAAATTAGATGCCGGCGTTGTGGTATATGAATGTGGTTTGTGGTTTGTGGAGCGGCCCGGTGATGGGAGAGATGAATTTGATTTTCGTTTATTACGTATAACTGGTTATTATACAATTATCCAATTGCGGACGGGTGTTTGAATATGTAGTAGCGCATTTTGTAATTGTTAGATGGATATCGAAAGAACAATAAATCGTAACAATAGATACCAGGATGTGGTAAGTTAAGCAAAATCAAAGCGTCAAAATTTGGAATACTATAATAAAATTTTTCATCAAAACGCTGGAATAAAAACCCACAAAGTCACACAAACAATAATAAACGATTTTATCTGCCATCAAATTTTTATTCTTCACGACCTTTAAGAACTAGAAACAGAAACATCAGATAAAAAAATTGTCTTGCGACAGAAAACTTATCCGGAGATTCCATTAGTAAATCAGAACAGAAACCCAATATAAGATTAACTATTATATTTCAAATTTAAGAGTAGGCATATAGAATACGAAATGTAGCTAATATCCGGTCTTAATTTCATCATTTTATCGAAACCAAATAATTCTTATTATATTACATTTTTTTCTATTTCAGCATAATACAATGGAACTTTGCGGAGCTTTCAAATGCGGTGAGTTGAAATTTCTTTTTTCATTTCTTCTTCACTGGCAACGGTTATTGCATTTATTCAAAGCTTTATAAAAATCCAATAGATAGATATAGAACAGTTTAGCAATAACCGTTTTTATACCTAAGGTATTATAAGTGCATGTTTAGCAACAAGTTGTTGGTAACAGCAATTTATCCAGTTCCTTTTACCGATGAGAGGAAATAATAAAAATGCAAATCGAAGATATCATCAACGATTTACAATGGTAAATAAGTTAAAATTGTTTTACAACGGTTCTAAGTGTTTCCTATGCGTTGTCTTGATTAATTCCGTCTCATAAAAATGTCTTTACTTAATTTCTTTACTAATTTTAGGTACTTCGACTTTATTTTACGTGGTCTATTTTCTACGATCAGTTATGGTGAGTTTTAGCAACTAATCAAAGATTATATCTATTTCTTAACCTAAATACCTATATTGATTACATAAGCGTTTATTAATTTCGGTTTTTTTTATTTGTGTCACTTTGATATTAACGAAATTTCAAATTCATCTCCGTGTGATCTATTTTTTATGTTAATCTAATACGTGACTTAGTTATTATAGACGGGCACCGCTAAAAAATATTTTAATAATAATAATAAAAATAATAGGAGATTACGAAATAAACGTGTTGCCCGACATTAAATAACTTAGAGAAATATTCATGTTTAGTAAAAAAATTGTCCATTTTTGTACAATAATTACTTTATTTATATTTTTTTCAACTTACATGCGTTATGTAAAAGAAAAAAAATTCAATTATCGATATAATTAACTGTTAACCATCGAGAAATTTATCGGTACGTTGGTTAATCAAACCCTAATTGAAGATATGAATATAATTTGCGCAATAATCATTAATTGGCATGTCTAAATTTGATAGACAAAATCAATTTTGGATACGCGCTGTATAATTTCCTCTAGAATGCAAAAAAATTAGATTACGCAAGCAACAATAAGTAACATAATGGCGATGATTACTTTAAACAATAAAGTAGATAATTGATCGTTGGGTTACGCTTTATGTTGCGATATATGTATTTACTTAACTCGAATAATTGCCATCAAAAATCAATCAAACCATGCACTTCAGATCGCTCTTATTTCCATTCCGCAATCTCCAGTCACTCATTTCCCCACACAAAATTACATTATCCCATAGTTTTCAATTTTATATCTACCTAAGTATTAACTTAAATCAATTTGCTATTAATTTTTCCAGTACGTAAATGGATTAGACCAATACCCGACGGATCATGAGAAACGATTGCCAGATAAATCGCAATCCGAAGATTACCTTTTCTTCTATCAAGGCGTCGAAGGGACACCCGGTATAGATTTCCCCGTGTACTCCCACATACCGAAAACTACGTTCAATTGTAAAGGGCTGGAATCTGGATATTATGCGGATATCGATACCGATTGCCAGGTAATGAAACGTTTTTTTAATACTATACAATATCATCTAATAATCTTTTAATTTCAGGTATTCCACATTTGCGAGGAAGAGAAGAAAATCTCCTTCCTCTGTCCGAACGGCACCATTTTCCAACAATCGGATTTGATTTGCGAGTGGTGGTTCAAGGTGAATTGCAGCCATTCCCCGCTCCTGTACGAGGAAAGCGCGGAAAACCTGCGGGAAACGACGGCGAAAAGGAAATCGTTGCGCAGGGTGCGTTTGAATCTGCGCAAACCGGCGGGCGATTCCAAGGAAAATAGGCGGGTGAACTTGGACAGGAGCGCCGAGAGCGCGCCCTTCAGAAGGGGACACAAAACCGCGCAGAGTGTTACTGAAAGAGTGTTTTCGGATAGTAAAGAAACGCGAAGATTTAAGGAAAATTCGAATTCGTTCGCTGATAGTAAATACAAACATAAAATCAAGAGCAAACCGATCGCGCATCAGAAAAATAGAAGATTCAACGAGCGTGATTTTGGTAATTATCAAAATTCCGATTATGATCAAACTACGTCGACAACAACGAGCACAACGAGTACAACGAGCACAACATCCACGACAACGCCGAGATATGTTGAAAGTAGAACGTATAAAGGTTACCAAGTTCAATTTCCCTTAGCCGACGATCTAGACAAAGGTCCTTTATACAATAACGACAATTCAGGCGACAACGAAGAATTCGATTTTCAAAGTCACGTTACTCAACCGCCTAATTCAGATGAATCGCAATTGACTCAAGAATCTGCATCATTTCTAAAGAGTTCATACAACAGCATCCAAGAAACTTCTTCGGCAAATCCTTTCCCCAATCACAGGACCACTTATGCTGATATAAGGACCTTCCCGTACATTTCAACGAAGACTTACAGTACAATCTCGTCTGTAACTCCCCAGTACATAACTACACAACCAATTAATAACGGTAAACCGTTTTTAGGCAGTCGAGTAGGACTAAAAATCAAAACCACTAAAGATCCGCTATTCATCAACCCTCAAGTAATCAAACCCAAAAATCAGATACCCGTCGAAGATGTATTCAAACTACACGTAGTTTCTAACGCTAAAAACGTCACCAATTCCACGTTAATCAGCTCCAAAGTCATTGAGAAAATCCTATTCGCGAAAATCAAACCCATCAACGAATCCACCACCACAATCCAACCGATTGTGGCGGCAACAGCATCAATCCCTACCACAAGCAAACCACCCAAGCAAAAAGTCGCCAGATTACAGCAAGAATCCAAACCGAAAACACCCGATTATGCGGTGGTTTACGGCTCCTCTCCGCCCGGTAACGTAGTGCAAGTCCGATTCAACAAAACCATCAACAAAATCGGAATACAACTGGGCAAATCCTTCGGAGGCTCCGCCAAAGACAGGAGCAAAGAGGAAACGTTGATCAGGGAATCGAGCAAATCCATTCCCGAGTCGTTGAGAGAATTGCGCATTTACAACATCAGCATTAGAAGCACCACGCAACAACCGAGGCCTTTCGAAAAGTACAGTTACGAAACCACGACTGTGGCGACACCTTACGAGCGGGCGACCAGACTCCCGATGTTGGATTACAAAATATCCACTGCTAGTCCGTTTAAATTCTCCACATCGCCCACTCCGCTTAGAACAACGACTCCTTCGATTAATGAAAATATCGATAATATGATTGATGTTTTGAGCGAAATTACTAACGGCACTAAAGCTAGACCAGGGCTGGTAGTACCTCCATCTGTAGGTCCACAAACGCTTCACACCCTTGCCGTGTACTTCTCGAACGCGCTGGATCAAGTTATCGCGAACAAAGGCAAATTCATGGAGGAAAATAAGGAGAAACTCACGACTTTACTCACCCAAATGACGGTGCACGGTTACAACCAATTATTCAACTACAGCGCTGGCTCGGTCAGCGAAGCTCCTTTGAATGAAACGCAAATCGACGGGAATCCCCAAATTCGACAATTGGCTAGAAACTTCACCTTAGCGCTGTCGAATTTCTTGAACGATCCCGATATGTTTAAGAAAGACCTGGAGAATTTAAGACCTACCGAACCGCCTTCGGATGAAACGGAAACCACCGTCGACGAAGAACTCCTGAATTATTCGGACGCTGATGGTAAACTGTTCACGACATCTCGACCTCCATCGCCCACTTGGGGTTTCATTATATCCAAGTCGCCTAATAATTTCCAAGTGGAAAACTCGGTATCCAATACGGATTTAAACACGGCCGACACTCAGTCGTTTGTACCAGGTTTGAATGATATAAAAATCGATAATAAATCAAAAGATTTACCACAAGATCATTGGACCACGTCCACCAGCGCTACGAACCTATGGCAAAGCACTTTCTCCATCGACCCGGTGTCTTTCAACGAGGAATTCGATCCCACCACCGACGTGGAAGTTTCTACGGAAACCGAAACTACCACAACCACACCGGATGTTCTCCCTGCCATAGGCCACACCAGGGAAATCAACTACGAATTGCGCAGCCTGCCGAAATTCACCTTCAATTCGTCGGAGGTCTCCGGCATTTTGATAGATTTCATGAACAATTCCAGCGACGATTCGCACCACAAATTGCACCGGATACTCCGCAAACTCAACACGACCGAAGACGAGTTCCTGGTGAAAATGCGAGAGATCGAATCGAATCCGATAACGAGACGATTGATTTTGCTGCTTATCAGCGAATGCGGGAAGAACGCCACGAAGACCACCGACTCCATAGAATCGCTGGAATTGTCTGAAACTAATACCAGCCCGCCGACGCCGCGCCCTAAGGACTCGCATAAGGGCAAAAACGATTTTCAAATATACGTCGATCCTAATTTGAAAGAAGACGACGAAGATACGAGGGCTTTGCAATTGCTGAATACTTTGTACAGTATCGCTTCGAAATTAGGGAAATAGTTTAACAAGGCCATAATTTTTACTTTCAAGGTGCGTCACCGAGCGGTGGTAATTGTATAGAAAGTATTGTTTTTATAAATATGTACATAAATATAGTAACCTGTATGTTTTCAAGTATCCCATGTATTTAAAAGCGCTATGTTTGTTTAATTTGTATTTACTTGGAGCTCGAATTTGTCGTAATGAAATAATATTAAGTCAGGAATACTCCATATCAAATTGTCGGATGTAATAAACAATCGGGAATCAAAAGCAATCAAATTTATTATTCCTGAAACACTTGTTTCGATCCGGATCGATCTATTTATTTATTTATTTAACGATTTAAGTTCCAGCAATAATACTTTAAGCCCAAATGAAAAATACAATTCGCTTTACAATAATATAACGTGCAACGTTCCTGATTAGCTCATTAGAAATAGAAATGTAAGAAACCGAACAATGTTAACTACTCATGAGTTTTGTAAATTTTATGCCAATAAAGAAAGTCATAAAAGCTTCATTTATTTATCTATTTACACACCTATACTTTAATTTAGAAGGATATAGTTATACATGGAGTTATAAAATACATATTTCTACTATTAAAAAAATCAAATTAATAATAATAACGTCGAATTCTGATTAGGTAAATTGGATCGCATTTCTTCGAATGATAAAATTTTGACAAATCGCCTTATAATCATGGCGTAACGACCGAAAAATTCGCGTCCGATTGAGTTGCCGTAGAATACCTGCCGGCAAAGGGTGTCGTTAACGAACCGATCGAAAAAAATACGAGCGCCGATAATAATGATAATGATAAATGCATATTCAGTTCGGGGACATCAACGTTGCATATAATGATATTCTGATGGTTTTCACACCTCGTTGGAATAAAATAAGCCCTTACCGTCGGATCATTAGCCACGGCGCGGGGTAGCGCTGTCACAACGCTTGGTATTATTTTTTTTTATCAATAGTCCGGTTGCTTGCGACCTGAATTTAATACATCGCTTCGGTTATAATGCAAAAATGAAAATTCTGTTTAACTGACCGCACTATAGGAGTGTCTAATTTTTTAGAAAAGCCGGAAATTTATCAAAGGGCCGACACGCACACGTCACACCTAGTTTTTAGTTATTTCTTTCTCCTTCCTTTCTTGTTTTTTTTTTAATTTTTTTGTTATTTTTGGTCGAAGGTAATTTGATTGCGTCGAAGCTTGTTAGCCGTCATTTTTTGGGCATTAAGATTTTTCTGCGGTTATTATTTTTTCTCATGGTTACGGTTAACGGTAACGAGCCGAGCGGTCCGCCCCGTTTTAGAAATTTCTGTATACAAAACGAAATTAGGAATCGTTATGGCGTAATTGAATTTAGGGCATTTTTATACCTGCGACTTTATCGGACGGAAATTTTAATAACCGAGCATTTTGTATTAAAACGATACGGTATTCATACTGTGAATATTCCACATATTGTGCTTAATTTACGATTTATATTTCTTATTATTTTAAATGAGTTTTATTTATAGGGAATTCTATTCGATTCAATTTAGTATAATAACGTACTAATTAATACATTAGGATTAAACAGTTCATAAATAATTAAAGACAAATTTTATTTTTATATCTATTAAAAAGTTGGCGAAGGTACTGGGATATATTTTATGAAATGAATCATATATTTCCCTAAACTTTCAATTAAAGAGTTTTTTTTATAATTACAAATTACAATTCTTTCAATTTATTTTGCTTCAATTACAATTACAAAAAAACTAGAGTAAGATAACTACTTTTACCAGTTTTAATTTAACAGGTTTAAGTTAAATTTGCCAGTTCTGTGAATTACTGATTTAAAAGTTGTTCTTCTTTCTGAACATAATTTTCTTCTTTTTTGATTTCTTCATATTCACTTTAATTGTCAAGCTAGTGTAATAAAACTGTAATTTTTACAAACTTCACTGAATTGTCGCCCATCAAATCGACAAATATGAATATCGGTAGATTCGGCTATCCGTTAGTAATAAATGAATATTACACAATGCATTTTTAGAGATTCCGGTAAGATTATGGATAGCATGCATGTGCTTTTTGACTTCTTTTACTAGCATCACTACTAGAACTAACTTTTCTATAAGCATTATATCGATGACCACGAACACGACGAAGGTTATACCGCTTTGCAGCTTGAAAAATAAAGGAAACGATACTGGCAATTTTAATATATTGATTAACGACACTCATGCGATTAAGGTAATATCTCCTATGATCTCCTATATGATCAAATATCAGTTAACAACTTGATTAAAGTGATTTTACATTCTCTAGAAAGCTCTACTTTGAGACAATCTTACCATTTGAAAACTAATAAATAAATCCTTTTAAAAAACTTATATTTTTCGAGGGAAAACCGTTCTTCGATTGGGACGTTAGGACAAAGGGATACCTCCTGGGCGCCTATTCCTACGGCTACGTCGTGTCCAATTTGCTGGCCGGTATAATAAGCGAATATTTCGGGCCCTACACGGTGATATTTTGGGTGCACGCGCTGGCCGTTGTTCTCAACACGTGCTGCGTGCTTTGCGCCGGGATCCACTGGAGCTTGATATTCATTTTCAGGCTGTCGTTGGGCATCGGAGGGGTAAAGGATCGTCGAATTCGTTCGAATATTGATTGATTGTTCGGGATTTTTAGGCGCTCGTGGACCCGTCGTTGCAATTGTTGATCGCCCATTGGGCGCCGCCCGAAGAGAAAGGAATGTTTTCCACGACTTTTATGGGATGTTATTTAGGTAATGTATTTATTTTATAGATATCGATTGTTTGGTACACACTTAATATGTTTTAGGTACTGTTGTAACTTGGTGGGTTGTTGGTCTAATAACGAAAATTCTCGGGTGGGATTGGGGATTTTATATAATAAGCCTGCAGAATTTCCTGTTCTGTTTGCTGTTTTTCGTAGTGGTTGCAGATTCTCCGGAAACTCACACGTGGATTAAAAGCCAGGAGGTCGAGTATATTAAGGAAAAGCAAAATCAAATCGTGAGAATTAAGAAAAAGGTCAGATATTCAACTTAATGGTACTTATTGCAGTAAATAATTGGTTTTTTTAAGATATTACCGCCGTATAAAGATATTTTGTCGAACTACCATTGTTGGTCGCTGACGCTGTGCCAAGTGGGTAGCGATTTCGGTTTTTATACGCAACTTTTTTTGGTACCGACGTATATCGATGAGAACATTGGTTACGATGTGGGTTGGGCGAGCGGGTTATCCTCCATACCCATCATATTGAGCCTGATTTTCGGCATTTTTTTCGGTTTCGTCTCCGATTGGATATTAAAGAAAGAACTGCTAAGAAAAATCATCGTGCGGAAGTCATCTGCTGTTATTTGTAAATATATCTACGAAAATTAATGATACTACTGGATTTTAACTTGGGTTATTTTAGCTCATATTATCCCCGGAATTCTAATTGCATGCGTAATTCCGGTGGGTTGTTACTTTAAATCTTCAATGATTCTTTTTTCTGCTGGTATGTGCTTAAACGGCGCCATCGTGCAGAATTTGTTGATAAATCCGCAAGACCTCGCGCCGAATTATTCGGCTACAATTCAGAGTTTCAATAATTTTTTCTCTGGAATGACTGGGTTCATTGTGCCTGTTATCAATTCCGAATTCACCAAAAATCAGGTTTGTTTCTTTCGATAAAATTTTGATATGAGTCAAAGTTTACTGTAATGTGTGTTTTATATTTTTTAGGACGCAACGAAGGGATGGGAAAATACATTCATATTATCGGGAATAGTTTACATTGCCGGCGGTCTGATTTGGATAATATTTGGTTCCGTAGAAGAGCAACCTTTCAATAGAAAACTGTATTCAGAAGAGTAAATATATTTTAGATGTAGCATTTAATTATTTCGTTTCTTGCATCAAAAATTTGGAGCTTCCTCTGAGTATCGGCTATTATTGTAGGTAAATAAATTTAAATGACTACGTCAAAAATTCCCTGTCAGGTAGAATATCCGAATTGAGGAAACTAATAGGTAATAGGGTATCGGCCAGAGACCAATTGTCGCAAACCAGAAAATCTATTATTTCCGCTCTTAATTTGGCCTGAATGACGAGACAAAAATTTGCTACAAATTAAGAAAACACCTACTTTACCTAATTATATAGGTACTATTGTTTCAACAGAATTAAACAAAAATTTGAGGCAGGGAACAAATCCTCTCTAATTGACATTAAGAATAACTTTATGTAGCAAAAATCGTTAGTATTTTTTAAGTAAACTTTAGGACGAGACTCCGCGATCATCAATCAAAAAAACATCCCGAAAGCAAACAAGGCAGCCGAAACGCGACACCCAATTCCTTTCGATTACCTCGAAAGAAGGAAAAATCACGCAAGTCATCTAACACGGATAGTTTATGATTTTCGTGTAGCGTCTATCAATTTGTTAGAGGAGCGGAAATCAAAACAGTCCTAGAACTAGCAGTAATTTTGCGGTGAATTATCTATAACGAGCCATAATGTGAAAGCGCAAATCTCATTATCGAATCCATCACCCCGGCGCCCGCCTCTTTTCATAACCGCTTGCAAGAGGTGTAGATTAAATTTTATTTACTCTACCGCTAAATTTATAAAATATAACAAAAAATTTCTCTCTCAAAATAAGCGATTCGTCGTCCGAAAATCGATTTGCCTAATAGCTGACAACTTAAGTAATAAATATATGTTTATTTAGCTCACGCAATTTCCACCGTATTTGACGCAACTTCGAATTCGCGAGTCAGTTTTTTGCGCTCGAAAAATATTCGGTAATTGCGAGGGTGAAATTACATTTCGCAAACAGTAGCCCAAAAAAAGTGCACGATTTTTTACCTCGCTAATAATAAGCGCCTAATTGATTCTCCCCAAGGGCCCGACATATTCAATCATATCCAGAGGGTGCAAATTTTTCTTTAATATTCTTCTATTTAAATAAATGTTTACAATGCGAATTCGCCCATCTCGCAATTTTGTTTAAATAATTTGTTTCAATCAACCACTGTAGGTGATGGCTTATTTTTTCTCATACAGTGCTTTCTTAAAGTCTCTCGACTCCAATTATCTTTAACAATTTATTGACGTATGTAAAAGAACAATACGTATGATGAAAATTTTCTTCCTAGACTGTACTTGTACCTGTATCCAATTTGTAAACGCGCCTGCTGACCTAACTCGCATCTTCTACCTAACTATATCTGGTTACCACGATGCCATATGACGTCCTACTCGTATATAAAAACAGATACTAAGCGGCTCCCTAAGTTTCCGAAAAACAATTATTAATTAGATGTCTAACATTAGCCAGACGTAGCACGAGTGGCTTTTTTTGTCCACACGAATCTCTGTTAAATAAATACGAATGACATTGTATTAATGTGTATAAAAGGGATTGATAAAAAATTGTTTAACAATCTGAGTTTCAATTGAGTTGTACCTACTCAATTTTAAATTGGGTTGTTTAATGGAGTATTAGCATAATTTTCCATTTGCGATAAGCTGTAATAAATTCATTTACAGGTAGAATTTTTATGAATACGCTGGTTCTTTAACGAGGCAGTTAATGTGTTAGCAATTTTCCCAAAATTGTAAAAAAAAACACTCGCAAATACTTAAAATAATTCGCCTAAAAAATCTAATTGTCTTGTAACATAATACCGAGCGAAATTGCGGTAGCCCACCACAATTATACGACGACTCGTAAAAAAAACCACCGAGAAATAGAAAGAAATGTACGTAATTGTGCTTCGTGCCATTCCACGTGTTCAAGCTTTACTTACCGAAAGATTCCTCCGAGTCGGTAATATGGAAGTTCTCGCCCGCGGACACCGGCAACGTTTTTAAGTGATATTTCAAAAATTGACGTCGATCAGAACGCAGGGGTTCCCCTCTAGGGTGTGCATGGCGTGCCGCTGCAACAAAGAGTCGAATGTAATTTTTACGAATTTTTCTGCATTTTTCAAACTGCCCGAGACACCGACACAAAAAAAAAGTTTCTACAAATTGTTTGTTACTATAAGTAAAAGCGATTTTGGGTATACAGTGCCTTCTTGTAGTCTTTGAAAATATGAAAAAAATTGCTTGTTGTTCCAATCAATAACATTGGGGAACAGAGGTTTTGTTTTGAGAAGTTTTATAGCTATTTTAGTGTCATACTCTAAAGTCAGATTACAAACGGCAGCTCTACTTTTTGATATATCTAAAGTGGGAGATTTTAATCAAAATACATGAATTCCGAATCTAAAAATCTATTTATAAACAAAATTTTGAATCCAGGTCTTGCTCTTAACTGCAGATAATGCTTCCTCGCAGTAGTCCAAGTAGACTTTGTCACAAAGTTAGACAAACTTGATAAAACAAATTAACATTTCAATTCATTATTAACCTGAAAATTTGTAAAATAAATTGCAAAATTTCCAGCAAAATAAATAATGCAATCCAATGAAATAATTGAAGCAAAGTCAACTAAAACATTCATCAGCGAATCGATATAGCGAGTTTACATAATTCAATCCCGCCATTTTGCATTGAATTAATAAACGACAATCCCGACGCGCTGGAAGCCGGTCGAAAAACTGACTCCGGTGACTGTATCCCGGAGCGCCGATCGCCGATTGGCCGGCCGGCACGCGCTACTAGGGCGGTACATCGCCGGCCAAAGGGCTCCGGTAGGGCGAGCCGGCTATAAAAGCCCAACAGGTAGTCCGGCCGGCTACAGAACGACCTCTTCGCGGTGCAAACGCGGATCGCTCAGTGCCCTCGACGATGGATCCGTACAGTGAGACCTACGGTTACGCGTACCTATTGTCGCCGGAGGCGGTCGCCAGCAACTGGAGCTGCGTGTCGACCGAGTCCTGCGAGAGCTACTCGGAGGACAATTACAAGTCGCTGTCGCCGGATGCGATAGGGCGCAGCAAGAGCCGCGTGACGCCGGTGGTGTTGCGGAAGCGGCGGTTGGCGGCGAACGCGAGAGAGAGGCGGCGGATGCAGAACCTGAACCAGGCGTTCGACAGGCTGAGGACGTTCCTGCCGCAGCTCGGCCAGGACAGGCAGCTTTCGAAGTACGAGACGCTTCAAATGGCGCAGACATACATTACGGCGCTGTACGATTTGTTGGATCAACGCGATAGCGCCCAATGAGAGAGGATCGCAGTAATTGTATTTTTATTTTATTTGATTTCGTCGAGGCGCTCGTAGACGTTTATTGTTAAAGCCAAAGTTGTTATTAGATGTTTAAACGTAGATAAGTAGGTAAATAGGAAATTGGTCATCGTTATTCAAAATATATTATTTGATTCAATTAACAAAAATTTCGTTATGAACTAGGTAATTTCTCCTGTAAATTTGTTTTACAAGTATTTATGTATTTTAGCAGGACATTCTAATTAACGATATTTAATGTTTTCTTAAGACATTCTTAAATGACCAATTTCGATTTTATTATACTAAATTTAATGTTATTTATTTTATTATTATTGTAATTATTTTTATTGTCTACCTATTATTATTATTATTATTATTATTAATTAGTCATTAGATTTAATGGAAATCCATCAGTACTTCATGTGCCAAATGAACTGTTTTTTTCATTGTCAATTATGTGCCAAATTTTTGTAGATTAGTTGTAAATAAATCGTTATAAAATATAAATTGTGTTCTGTTTTAATCGATTAAAAACTATTGATCAAACCTCGCCATAGTAAAATTGCAAATATGAAATAAACTGTTACACAAAAGTTAAGGAAGTTCGCAAATTTTGCGATTATTTTAAAAGTTACAAACTTTTTAATCACCAAATTTTCAAATATGCGAAATTAAATGTTTTCTCTCATACCTGAGTGGATTTTTTGTTCCTATATACCTTTACAACTCATACTAAATTTGATAGCGATCAAAAAACCTGTAACTTTTAAATTAATCTCAATATTTGTGAACTTCCTTAACTTTTGTGGAGCAGTATAATTTAAATTGGTTCGTAATTACAATTTTTAATTTAAAACATGAAAACTTAAGTTTCAAATAATTTAAAATAATATGGAAAGTAAATTATTTATTTAATTCTTTAAGTAGTAATAAATACATGAACAAAGTCACTTAAGAACGATAGAATCCATTTAAAATATGTAATATATAGTTTTTCTAATTCATATGAGCAAAAGAAGATGTATTTCTTCGAAAATTCACAAAATATTACTCTCAAGTAGGTAATATAAGAAATAATAAAAAATAAGGTAGGTAGTTAAAGAAAAATATTATATAAAATTATTTAACTGATGCAGATATTAGAATTTTGATTTTACAAGTAGGTACCTACATCCGATCGAGTTTACATATATTAAATATTAAATAAAATGTATCCAAAGAATATTATAATTGAATCCTTTAAAATCAATTTTTCAAATAAAACGACCATTTTAATTTTTTCGAATATAATTAATATAAATAAATACCAAAAATATAATTACGTATATACAAAAATTCACAACACAAATGCATAAAAAATTTAAAATATACCTACATAGTTGTAACAATTAAATAATAAACCACGTACAGTACAACAGAATGCAGTGAACAGTGCAATAAACTACTTCAATTATACCTGTCACACTGTACCTATACATAAATCTATAAAAAAAAACTCATAAATTAAACACTAAAATAAATCATTTACGCATCGATTCTCCTTATCGATCAAATCGTACAGAGCGCCGATGTAATTCTGCGCCATTTGAAGCGTCTCGTACTTCGAAAGCTGCCTGTCCTGGCCGAGTTGCGGCAGGAAGCTCCTCAACCTGTCGAACGCCCGGTTCAGGTGCTGCATCCTCCTGCGCTCCCTGGCGTTCGCCGCCAATCGCCTCTTCTTCAGCACCGCCGGCGTCGCCTCGGCCCTCATCCGGCCGGGCTTCGGGCTCCCGTCGCAGCTCGAGCTCGAGCCGGAGGAACTCCAGTCGTCGAGGGAGCCGGAGCAGCCGAAATTTTCCGCGTAGAACTCCATGGGTGCGGTGCGTGCGAGGAATCGCGGCGTTTTGGTAAAGTCGAGACTACCTGTTGGGGCCTTTTATAGGTCGGAGAGGGTCGCGCGTTTGATCTCTCTCCTACCCTTAGAAGGCGACTCGTTAGTTCGAAATTATACATCGCCCAGGTATCGGCCAAAAATTATTTCAGGTATATCGGGGGGGATGAAACAAATTTTTGAAAAATTCATAACGAGCTTTACGGTGCTTATCGATAATTGATTTTCCTGTTGTATGCCGTAAGATTAAGTCGCGGTTTTTTTTTCTATCGTAGATTAGTTTGAATATCTTTTGTGTTGATATAAGGGTGAGGTAAGAAAAATGCCTAAATTGTAGGTATATTATATTTTTCGATAATGATGGACTCATTAGGTCCCGATTTAATTATCTTTTTGTTTGTTATTATCGAAATGGGGAGTAAAATAAATCGATTTTATTTGTACCATGCATACATATCATGTGGAACACGAAATTAAATCGTTTTATATACAGTTATCAACTTAACCCTTTCGTTACAACCGTATAATTAACAAAAAAATAATCCCGTATAAAATCCGTTAGTGAATCGATTCACCCTTCAGTCAAAGTGATACCTAAATTTCGATAAACCCGGTGTAAAAGCCTATTTAGATGTCATCCGTTCGGAAAGCGTTGTCAGTTAGTTTAACAGCAGGTTACGCATTAACACCTTTTTTATCGTCTAATTACTACCTCTAACCGTGTATTTATTAAATACTGGAAATATTTTAGTTACAGGGCGAGATTACGATGAAAAGTTCGCCCTGATAATGTCAGTTTTAATGAGCGTCTTCGAGTATTTGAGCGTGTTATTAAGTTAAAAATTTCGGTGTGCATAGTGTTACATTTCGAATAGAAAATATTTTAATTATTTCTACAGATTTTATCTACTTATTTACTGAATTAAATGCAAAATTAACAAAATAGGTAATAGCTGATGAAAAATTCATTAATGCAGAGGTTTTATAGAAGGTTGTTTAAATATTAATTTCATATATGGAGCGAAAATTAAAATTTTAATATTTTCTTCATTATACACATAAAAGGAAGATTGAAACATAAAAAATAGATAACTGTCACGAAACTAAAACGTTCTCAGTCGGTTTTTTCGGGCTTTCTTTTTGTTGATTAATTGCCGCTTTCGGACCACCACCCTTTCGAGACGGTACCCTTTGTCCTATCAAGAAAGTTAAACGCTAGGGGTGCAAAGAGCCCCAGGTGGGATCGAATTGTTCGCTAATATCTGCCAATTCATTACGAAAAACCGCCTGCCGGTCGAAATTTCATCGAAATATCCATTCGACTGCGTATAATGCGTTTTTAAAATATAAGTGCCCCGGCCGATAAGGGCGCCTAACTAGCCTCGGAATTATCGAAGATGACAAATTACTCGGATCCGGAACTGGCTCGTTTACTGAAAGGACGCCGGTCCTTGACTAGCCGACAGACAATTACATGGATTTTGCTAAAACTTGTGGATAAAAGAGCAAATTAAAGACCGAAAGCACGACTAGGTAACGACAAATTAGCAGGCCCTTCCGTAGGGTGTGCACTTATCGACCGCCCTTATATTATTTTCGTCGCCTTTTTTACCAAAAAAAAAACACTTAAATAGTTTGTTCTTTACGACTCCAAAGAAAGAAATTTTATTTCTACAAAATTTCTTGTAATATTACCAGATTGATTATGAGTGCATTCAAATCTACATATCCCACTGACCTATCGCAAGATCAACCAACGAGCCGTCAAATCAAACGGTGAGTTAAGATTTATGAACAAACCAGAAGTTCATATCCATATAATTACGCTAATACGAATGAATGTAAAAGCATAGTAGCCTCCGGTAACGCGGGCGACTCCTCCCGCAAACGAGACTACCTATCTCTCGGTTTTTTTTTTGTTTGTAATAGAAGCTCCGGCGTTTTGTTCGACGAAATCGATACCTCGATAGAAATCGGATTAAAGTCGATAAAACAAACACAAACATGACGTCGTACAAAAGAAAATTTTTGTTTGATTTGATAATTGGATGTAGTGAGGTCGTCGATGAGAGGGGCATTGTTTCGGATTAATTCGATTTGCGCTGCACAATCGATGTATTAGGGCCGAATTAATTGTTGGAAAAAATTGTAAAATTCTATTATTTTCGCCAAATGTATAACTTGACCGTTGGAATTTTTAAGCAGTTGCATGAGTATCATCTCTCTACAAGAATAGCCAAACTTTCGAGATAGTTTGGGGACCTTGATTACTCTAGCTTTTTGCAAGGATCTGTATCTAGTAAAAATTATTAAACAACGTTCGTTTTCCCATTTCATTCGATAATTAGCGAATTTTTCGTTCGCACTACCTTACTTCTACTTAGGCGAGTCTATAATTAATTTAATTAAGTTCGCTCTCATTCGATTCACGCACAAAAATGAAGACGTTTCGAATCGCAGGGGAGACGCCACCCAGGAAATCGAAAACCGCCGAAAAAAATGTATTAATAACGACCGCACGTCACACGAGGTCCACTTTAAAATAAATCGTTTTTTGTTTAAAACAAAACGGATCGCCTCTAATTCGAGATCTTAATTTGGAAGCGGGGCCGTCATTAATCAAACGCCGAAGATTTGCCATCATAAATCCACGAATCCGACTCAAAAACAAACAGTTTTTCGGGTGGCTCTCATTAACCCGACCCGGAGACCGAACGACCCCCGTATGGCGTGTACACGCTGCATTGTCTTCGAATCGAATGCAAATGAAGGGATGAAATCGATCAGGGTTGTAGGAATACTAATTCATTCCACCAATCATACTAATTATCTACAAACCATTTTTATTTGTACTTACTAAATAGTTGTATAGTAACTAGGTAGGTAATACTTAATAATTTGCATTACAGGTAGATAAAATTGCGAAATAAATATTTAGGCGCGCCGCTGTTCGATATACCAATAAAACACCGATGAATCCATCGATTAGAAAATTTAACGAAGGGGTGGAAATACGTGGGGTTGACGCTCGTTGTAGGTGGTCCCGTTTAACGGGTTCCACCACGCCTATAGGCGAAATTCCTCGATATTGATGGATTAATGGGAGATATCATTATTTTTTTTATTATTTATACTGATTGGACGCGGGGACCCGACCGGTTGATTCGCAACGAAAAGACGCCGAAAATGAGGAAGAGGGTAATTAAAATAATTCCAAAAATTGCGATTAAGGTTTTCGTTTTTATGATCGGGCGTCACGCAACTCTAAACAGAAGCGTACGCGGATGGATGATAGATGGATGAATGGACCACCGAAGAGCTTTTTTTCGTGAAATTGATGAATAGTGGAAATTGTTTAGTTGATTTCTATTCGAGGAGTTAAATCCGGTCAAAGCATTATCCATAAAAAATGCTCTGTGTAGAGAAAGAAATCAGCAACTGCTGGAATACTAAATTGCTAATGTAGGTTTTTCTAATAACTTGCTATTTATTTTATGTAAATTCTTAAATTAGCAGGATTAGATTATACAGTAAAACAACAGTACTGGAATACTCGCATCAGGAATAGGAAGAATTCTGAAATCAATCCTCTCTTTTATAAATAAGTCATTCTACAAAGTGTTTCTACAAATAAACTTAAAAATATGGGAAATTGCCTTCCATAGTGAATACACCATAATTGAAAAAACCGAACAAAATCTGACCTCGAATTCGATAATAAAAAATATCGCAAAAAGTCGATACAAAAAAGAATTTAACTTATTATTAAACGTTTTTTTCCTTACTGGGAACGTTACATCTCTTTGAATAAAGTTTTTCCATGAAACTTTGTGCGTTTGTGTACACGCCAAGAAAAAAATTACTTTATACTGAAACGATATACGCATACAGGTAGTCATTAGAGTTTTGTGAATAGGGAACGGTAATTACCGACGTTCAAAAGAGTTCATCAATGTCATTAACATTGGCGTTACATCTATATGCACTCAAGAAATATATCTATTTATGAAAACCACAAGTATAGTTATGTACCTAATACTTGTTTATAAGAATAATTGATGTGAAATTAATTTTCGGTTCACTATATTTGTATTAGACTGTAAGTACAAGAGTTCAATCAATTGGAATAAATAAAAAATAAATCTACACCACTGCAGTTCAATGGAGCACATCAATATTATTATATACATGTCGGTAAATAATATATAAAAATGGATTTTATTGTATTTTTAAAGTTGTGTCAATAATTAGCTTTTCGGAGTGTATGTTTATGGGCCGTACCAGGAAGGGTTATTTTACCATTGTGTTATTTCGGAAATAATATCGATATATACCTAAAATAATTACATGCCTTTGGGTTGGTTTTGTGGTGAAAGAAGCCGCAAACAAGCACGTGTAACGTGTAATAAATACATCGAATATGTTGCTGCATAGATCGCAATTTTTGCCAAAAAAATTCGCACACGAAATTCTACTTTCCACTCCCAATCACAAGATTCAACTTTCCACTGTTTTACTATAAACGATTTGCTTAGAGTTTACAATATAGATACTACAGCAATAACTTCTTCTTCTCTTAACATCTTCTTAATTTATTCGCCCATCGATCATCCGTTTTAGGATGTTATCGTTCTTCGATTTACCTAATTTTTCCCATGCAACAGGTACGCGCTAAGGAGGCCCGTGACGTACCAAACGGGCATCCTCATCATTTAAATTTCGCTTTTATTTCCAAACCCCAGAAGTGACACCTCAATGCAGCACCTGCCCCACTATACGCGCATAAATCAACACAAAAATCATCACTTCTAAGTCCCTTGTTTACCTTATACAGGGTTATATCCACACCTAATGAATATAAAACACAAATTATTATACCAAAGGATACAATACACTATTATTTAATGCAGTAAGGAGTAACAGTTTCGATTTTTTAACGTGTATATCTTGGAGATTCGATTAGTTTAAGGGTGCATCGCCCTGTATTCGGACCAATTTTAGTACCTACAATTTCGGTTGATTTGCATACGCGGTACCGAGGT